AGGCAAGAAATCTGTCTTAAATTATTTACACTACAATAGCATTCATGAGAAAGGTGTGAGGAGTTGGCATGGTTCCTATAAAGAAATAACAGCATTTTATATCAGATATTGTGCTTCTGTCATTTTAACCTGTGAAGAAAAAGCTAAAATATCCCTGAAACATAGAAATCTAGTATGTCTGAAGCAACTTACTTTTCATGAATAGGACTAGATGTCACAGGCAAATTAAACACTTAATGAAACAAGCTGACTATTCAATATATATTAATTGTGACCTCTTTTGTGAGCTAAGGCTAAGACTTTGAAAAAATGCTTGAATATTTTATCCTGAATTGCATGAATTAAAAGAAACAGGGGAAGCATACTTTCTTCTACATCAGTATTCATAGAATCTGGTTTGTTGTTGTTGTTGTTTTTTTTTTTTAATTTAGCTGTTGTCACGTCTTGTCAGTTAATTTCCTGTAGGCTACTTTCCTGGAAAGCTACTTTGCTATTTTTTTCTCTTCTTGTTTTTCATGTAGCCACTAAGAATAAAAAATAATTATTCATTTAAAATGCATTGGGATTTGCTTTGCAATAACAATTGTACTTTAAAAGATTTTTAATTACTATTGGAATTAAATCAGAAAGATCATGAAATACTCACTCTAAGCACTACTTGCGCCACCTGCTGTTGGACATTTTAATATCAATGCTACATTAACCTGTAGTGTGTTGCTCAACTTCTGTTAGTCTGCCATACAAATGAAAGACTTCAGACTACAGGTTCTTCCACATTGTGCTAGCCCTAAATAAGAAGTAAAACTCTTGTAGCAGTATTAATAGTAGTAAGATCAGTTTTGTAGAGTGTGGGTTTTGTAAACTTTTTTTTTTTTTTCAAAAAAAAAAAAAAGTTTGTGGGCTTTTAAAGCTGTTCCTGAAAGAGTTCTTTTGCATTGACTTACCGGAGTGTTCACTATATAGTGACACATCACAAATAAGTGCTTTATAAATACTGCTGTTGAGGCAGATGAGACTAAAGGATAGTATTCCCTGTATTTGGAGTAAAATAGTGAGGCATCCTGACTTTGAATAAAAACTGTAATTTTTATTCAAATTTGGTATCTAAAAAAAAAAGGTTTTTTTTTTTTTTTTTTTGGAAAAGTAACAGGTTGTAAATATATACATAAAACAATTTGTTTCTCCCTTAAAAGAGAAGGAAAAGGGAGGCTACTACTGAGCATATTTCATTGTGAAAACTGTCCAACCTAAGAACTCTGTGCGTATCACTTTGACACGGTTCATCTCATGCTTGTTGTAGGGGTTGTACTGTCCTTTGCCTCCCCAGCAACCAGAAAATGCAGAGATACCTCATGTATGCGTTGTAATATCTCTTGGCAGTTCTTTCATTTCTTCACGTCCCTTTTTACAGCAGGTTTTTTGTAACAACTGGGACCTTTTTGATATTGATAAACATCTCAAATTTTATAATAGATGCTAAAGAAGAATTCTTACACACAAATTTAACAAAAAAACAAGGGAATAAGTAAAAATAAACAGAGGAATATCTGCAATGTTTTTTATATCCTGTATCATAATATCCTATATCACAGTATTTTATTAGAGAGCCAACTAGATTAAAATGTAGGTTCTGCCATGCTTAGCTAATACAATCATTTCTATGAAAAACAAGATTTTTGTTTTTAACTTATGTACATTAAAGAAATCAGAATGAAGTAGAAGAGTGGGTGGTTGCTGCATACCTGTGATATGTTTCATTCAGAAGATTTCAGAATTTCAAGCAAATGAGGTCAGTGACTACTTGACCTGAATTTAGACAACTGTATTAGAGAGGAAATTGGTTCTGGTATATTATTTCCTGAAACATCCTCAGGGAGTATGCAGTTATGATTACTTAGTGGCTTTAAATCAATGCAGCTGAAACAATTTTTATGATACTTGGCATCTTAAAAATATTTTTGTAAACATGATATTATGGATAAAATTTTGGCTAATGACTCTAGTTATGATGATGGCCAAAACCAGTAATGAACAACTGCATGTTTATGTAGCACTGATTCTGCCAAATGGACGTGTGAAGAAATAATTGCAAAGAGTTGACCAGTGTGAAAAAGATGATCTTTGTGTAGGAAGTCCTCTTTAGGATCAGGAAGTGAAACATTCTTGAGTTGGCATACAGAGTGCAGATGATGTGTTATCAAACTGTAAAAACACAGAAAAGTGTCTAAATCCAGGGCAGGTAGACTATCCAGAGTTTGTCTCTGAATGGATACGATAGAAAGCACATCATATTGCAAGATGAAGAGGAGAAAGCAAGAACAGAACTACAATGAAAGTGGGAGGAAAAGGGAATTTCAAGGCAAAATACAATACCAGAAAGGACTGAAAGTACCTTAAATGCATGCAAAGACTGCTGAACAGCTCAGAAGTTGAAGCTGGTTAGCAGTACTTTTGCAGTCAAATGATTCAGGAAAAAAAAAAAGGGGGGGGGGAGGGGGGCAGTAAATGGAATCAAGAAATACTACTTAATCAAAAATATTGTAAGTGATGTTAAAGGAGGAATAAGAACAAGAGTAGGAGATTTTATACTTCGTGTTACCAAGTGTGAGGCAGTGCAATAAGCAGGTCTCAGAAAGAAATAGCAGAATTTGACAGACTGTAAGAGGTGCAACACAAGGCATTCTTGTTTCCTATCTTTCTTCTTTTATATTGTCTCTTCATCCTTAGTACTTACTGTGTCTCTTATCTCAGTTGCCTGTTTCTTCTGTTGATCATTTCCTTTACTGCCTGCTATTTTGTATTCTTTCTGCTTGTGTTGTAGGGGTTATACTGTCCTTTGCTTCCCCAGCAGCCAGGCCTACTGCCACATCTATCTTGTGAGCTTTTTGGCACTAGTATTCCATTCCCTCCTGTTAAAGCAGCACTATTACAAGAGCTAGAAGCAAAAGCCAAAGACTTGATTTATATGCTGAAAAGGAAAATTAGCTAGCCTACCCAGCCAAACACCATCTAGGTGGTAGGGTGCATCATTTGGAAACTACAGTTCCTCAATCTATGCTAAGCCCCCCACGGAGTCAACACATGCAAAAGTATAGAAAGACTAGTTTGTTAGTAGCATCTTAAATTGATAGCATGAGGTTGACTCTGGTTCATAAAAGAATGTAGAAAACCCAGACTCAGAGCGTTTATTTTATCTGCTGGTCTGGACTCTGCAAGATTTTCAGGTCTTCTTCCATAACAGAATATTAAGTAGTTGATAAGATATAGGCAAAATTCACATTCATCTTAATACTACAATTTTGTCTACATAATAAAAGTGAAAAACAGGCTTAAGAACTCTACTGTCCCCCAGAGCGTGGATTTTTTAAAAGGGAAGCCTCCCTTTTATATTAGCACACTAATTTTAGATTGCAGTCAGCAAACATTCCTTTGGAAAATGGAAAATGTTTTATCTGATAAGAGGAATACAAGAAGGTGATTCTACAGCTCTTTCAAACTGTTACTTCGTTAAAACATGGACTTACGAATATGGTTGCATTTGACTCAGGAGAGTTATTTACTTCAAATAAGCCACAGCAATAACTGCAGTGTTTTCTATGTTTTATCTCATGTTTGTTGGCTACTTTCTGGGCTTGCTTCCTTTTAGAGTAACAATTAAATAAAAGAGGGGTCAGAGCTTACAAAAGTATGCTGAAGTTGCATGAACCTCAAACCTGTCAGGCTCAGCTCATTCATTCAGTTAAATTATGCAAAGGAAATTGTTTTCTTTCTCATTAACAGTTCCCATAAAAAGGATGATTTGGCAGTGTGCAAATTAAAGGGGAAAAAAAATATCTAGGTAGTGTGACATTGTGAGTGTTAATCAGCACAGCTGTACTGACTCTATTTCTTTAATTTCTTGTGGGCGTTTCCTGTCATGCAGAAATTCTTCTGAATTCTCATTATTTCTGTGAAATTTATCTGTTGTGAAGATCTTTTCTTGCCTAACCGGACAGGCAAGGGCTACTCTATTCTAGCCCAAGTTTCAAATCTGAACAGTGTTTGGATTTTCTTCTTAATTTTCTTAATTTTTCTTCTTTTCATTGGACCTCTCACTTCTGAGTAGAAGATGAAGTGTCTAAGTTCAGTTGTTCTTGTGAGGTCTGTCACCAACTGTAAAATGCATTTTACAATTACCATGAAAGTCCTACTCACAGCTTTAGAAATTTCCAAAAGGTCTCACACTCTCATAGTCAGTAATGTTCTGCCAGCAATTCTTGGCATCTGTTCCATGTGCTGAACTTGCATAACCAACTGGTAGCTTTTTGATCAAGCTTGGAGTGAAAAATCGGATTCTTTTGTGTGAAGAAAGAATGATTAATGATATGTGATACACAGCCTAAAAAAAAACCAGCAGATTTTAAAATTTCCTCTGTAAAACTAGTAGAAAAATTAGTCATTAGAAACAAATGAACTTTTAAATACAATTAAGTTACATTCTGGTATAACTTTGAATAGCTTGCATAATTTTACCTTCTAGTACTTTCTAGTTAAAAGTTTTTGAAGAGTTGATAATGCAAGCTAAGATGCTAGGGAAGCTAGGAATCATCAGAGTTCATGCAGCACTTGGAAGAACATACACTGAAAATAATTTAATGGGAAATAGTTGAATGAACAGTTGATTTGTGTGGTTCGTCTTATGCATAGGGAATGGACAGTGCTTCCATAGAATCTCTCACCTGGTAAGAATGCAAAATCTACATAGTTTATCAGCTGTATTGTGAAATCCTGACAGTAAGTCCTTTTATCTGCACTAGTCTTATGTATTTTTTATTCTTTCTATTAACTGATGTATAAAAATACAGGTTGGACTAATTCAAAGCAACAATTTACATATTAAAGCAGTATACTTAAGTACTTTCTTGCAAGGGAAAACAGATTATATGTTTGTTAGGAGAAGCTCAATTTTTGTACAGAAGAATTTGAAAAGAAAATTGACTGTTTTTTTCTTTCATTCACAGACATAGCGGTTGAGACTAGCAAGAAATAATTCCTACAGAACACCACTGCATCAAAGTCTGTAAGTTTAAACTAAAAACAATATGAGAAAGGGAAAGTTTGATGACAGATTGAGTATCAGAACATAGCTGCAGGACCTTCACAAGCGAGGGCTTGTGAACAGTAGGGATTACCAGTAAAGGTGCAGAAGAGAAGAAAGTAAATGAACATCTTATGCAGGAGAAGAGAATTTACTTGAGAGGAAATGAAACGAACAGGCTAGGAGTCCATACTGTATGGAAGCTTAATAGTGGATGTTGTTGGTTAGAACAGTGTTTTTAATATTTAAAGATGTATTATTTTACAATTCAGCTTTGCAGACAAATTCAAATGTGATGAGGTTAACCTCTACAGAACTTCTCACACATACGAAACTTCTACCACAACCCCCAAGGAAGAAATATCTTCAGTATATGCAGGTTGGCAGTTGCAAAAATGACTTGTACCTCGTTCCTGACTTTTTAAAAAGAGAGGATCGCTTGCATTTGCTCTCAGATAATGAGCCTCTGGAGAAGGCTAATTTCATAGAGCTTTCATAAAGCTTTCACTTTTTATGTAACCAGTGTCAAAGCATAAGTATTGGGCACCCTTCAAAGTCTTAAGACTATTGATTTGGAATAGAAGGACTGAAAAATCATTGTTGATAATTGCCATCTAGTCAAAAATAAATGGTATTAGGACTGATGAGCTAGTTAATGTTCTAGCAACTCTAAAACATGCAACATATCAAAGATGCACAATCTTAGTAAAAACAATCAAAATGCAAAGTGGCTTAACATTTGTATGCATCTATAAGGTCATATTTGTTATAGCTGTATTTTCTGTCTTTGTGTTAAATGACTCCCACTTTAAACTAATGGTAAATATTAATTCCAAACAGTAACAGTGGGTGCAAAATAATAGAAATGTGATTCAAATGCAAATTGGTGTATGTACAGCACTTAGATAGTATGTTCCAGTTGAAGGCTTTAAGTAGTTACAATGCTAATTTTCAAACATACCAAGCAGGTCAATAAGAATGAAGAAGCCATCAATTTTTAAAGGAAAAACTACTGAGCATGTGTTACGTATCTATCAAGCCTTTCCAAATCTCAGGTTCTAATAAATTCTAAAGCTCTTCTAGAACATTTAAGTCTTGACGTATCTAAAAGCACTACACAGATAGAAATATAGACAGAAACATTGTACAGACAACAGTGATTCTATTTATTTTCCTATCAGCAAAAACTAGGGGGAATTCAGCCATTATTACTTGCATTTGACATCAACCAGCTGGTGAATTAGCGTGCTTGCTGTTCCAGCTGAGCTGTTCACTCTTGTGCTGTTTATTGCTTGGCTGTCTGGTGTAAAGCAACCCAGATAAGGACTGTGTGAGGAGTCCAGCAGTACTTGGGGTAGGGTGCATAGACATATTTTTCCTGCCTATTAAAGCTCAGATAATGATGATTTTGGAGAAAAAGAGAAGTGTTGATACCACTTGTCTACTTCTGAATTCTCATTTTTTAGTTGTTTTTTTTTTTTTAGTAATTAGCATAAAAGTTTGGTTGAATAAGGTTAATTTAGACAGTCATTTTATGCAGTCCCTAGCTGCAGTTTTATTATGAACAAAATGCTTTCATTTATATTGAAGTCAGCTGTAGTGCTTGTGAAAGTTAATAGTGAGAAGCGAGGCTCAAGTTTATTTGTATTGTATCTTAAAATAAATGCCTACATCCTTCAGTTGGGAACGAGGAATTTGGAGTAAGATATATGTGATGCAAGGGAAATCAGATCAGATCTGTGCAAAGCGGAGAATTCTAGATTAAAGATCCTGAGTTCTTTTCACTGCTTTTCTGCTGATACGCAGCATGCCTGAGGGATGGTGTTTCAGCAGCACCTTCTGATCTCAGGCCTTCAGTGTGAAGTACCTCAATCATGTTTTATGGAGCTACTGAATTCTCTTGTTCATGAAGGTGGAAGAATTAAAGTTGAGCTGCAGGAGAGGGGGATAACTTAAGTGAGTTTTATAGGTGTAAAATAAACACATTTGTGAATTGCTTGAAGACATGTCTTGCAGAAGATCAGTATTGCGAAATGATTAGTATGATCTTGTCAAAAGCTTTTCAAGAGAAAGCTTTGCTGTCCTTTCAATCTTTGAAAGAATATTAATGGGACTATTTATGCTTAATGTGAATGAGGTTTTTTACCTTGCAGAGCTGGGATCTAAAGCGGTGTAGATTTGTTATAGTCAATGAAAATTCCCTGAGGTCTCGTTGTTGTGTCAGTCTAGCTTGAGAGAGTGGAAGCAGGAGTCTGCAGAGCTCAGATGATCGGCACAGATTTATGAGGTGGGAATCATAGGTGCTCCATACCATCTGGTATCACATGCACTATCTTGTACCACATCGCAGTGATAGAGATCACCATCAGTTAGATTTGTTTTGCATTCTTCCCACAGTATTAGTGCATAAACTGTGTGAAGTGATGCCTAGAAACTTCAGGCTTGATTTTATGAGAAACACCAGACTGAAATTCATATTACCCTCTTTATGTGATGGTGGTGAGAGTACTACTGAAATGCTAGTTATGGGTTACATACATTTTAAGTAGGACTAAATCACATTAAAACATCAGAAGTATGCTTAGCAAAGAAGCTTAATCCAAAGAAAGCTAAGTGGTTAATGGATTGTGAGGTGTTGGTAGTGTGCACAGAGGAAGGATTTTTCTCATAGTAAGTAACTCTTCAATCTGTTAGATAAAGACGCAGCAGGAACCAGTCTTAAGAAACTGTGATTACAAGCAAGGTGCAGATTTTGACCGTGTAATCAACTATTAACACACTTAGCTGTGCGGGTGGTAACTTCTCCATTTCAGTAAGTCTTTAAGTCAAGGCTGAATTCCTCTGCAGAAAACAGTGCATCTCAGATGCTGTGGACTGATGGAGAAGTTGCTAGTGAGATTCAGAGGAGGTCAGATCACGTGGCAGCTGCCCCTTCTGATCTGAAGTCTCTGAGGTGCAGGCACAAAATTCTCTAAATATCTTAATTCTGGTTCATTTCTCCGGGTGTTGAGAAGTTCAGCACCTTGAGAAAAAATTTCAAAAGAGCTGTTGCTCAGGTGTCATCCGGTTCTATTTCAGCAAAAATGCAGTAAAACACTGCCTAGACATCCTAATCAAGATGGGCACTGGACACGTGTTTGTGCAGTAAATTACAGGATTTTAAATCGCCCATATATATATTTTTAAACCTTTCAAGAATGAACTAAGGAATTGTTTCCGATGACTACAGGGACTCGTCTGGGGGGAAAAAAAAAAAAAAAAAAACTGGCCTGAAGAATAAACACGATGAGATTGGTAGATTCTCCTTAATTGAAAAGATTCAGGCTGAAAGAATCCATCAGTAAATGTGATGAGCAAATGCTTAGCGCTTTGGTTAGATTTGTGTTTGCATTCCAAACCAAGATAGCTAGAGAAGCTTAAACATTTGGAAGTTCACAAAACATTCTCTGTATTTGTGTAAGTGCTCTCTTACATCAATGCTTTCTAGATATCATATTGAATGTTATATTGCATATCAAATTCTGGGTTTCTTTCTAAGTTACCTAAGGTGGCTGCTATAGGGAGAAGATATTTTTCTCAGCTGCACTTTTGTTGCATTTAATCATGGTCATTATTTCCATATATCTTGTTACCCCAGCGTTTTACAGTAGGTTGACAGAGTTGAGCTGTCACCAGACTGAATGACTCAGCGAGTTTCTGCATGCAGCTGTGCTTGTGCATTTCACATGGTCAGTTGGTGTAAACACATTCCTTGCTAATGCAATTTCACCTCTGTACAGGGTTACCTTTGTTCAAAGCATAGCTAATAAGTCAGTGATTAACAGGGGATTGGTTAACACAGCTCATTATGTTATGCAATGTAGATATTGTACCTCTTTTCTCCAGTGGAGGGTAGGGAAGAAAGAAAGGGGGGAGGGTTAGGAAGAAAAAAAGGAGGTGAAAGTTTCTGCTGTTTCTGGGCTCTGCTTGTTCACCTGGGCTTGCTGTAGGCCTGAGTGCTCAGAGCCGGGTCTGGTCACACAACTGAGTTGGGCACAGCAGAGCTGCAGCCGTGGCCAACGCCTCCACCGTGCTGGAAACCGCATTGCGATGAAACTCCCTAGCATTTACAGGATCCCAGGGTCTGTCCCGGCACGAAGGGAAAGCTGAGGCTGCTGGAGCTGGCAGCACGTCCCGTGGACGCTGCTCGCCCGCCTTGGGCCGGCTCGGGGCGGGCTGCTGCCCCGGGGAGAGCAGCGCGGCACTGCACGTGCTCGCCTGCCATCTGCTGGTAGCGGCAGCCGCGGTACGGAGCTGTGCCCGCGCCGTCACCCACGGGATTTTAAAATCGGCCGTAGGGGCGGCTGTAGGCGCTGCGCCCGGCAGGGTCCCGCTGTGGGCGGGCATCCCCGCCCCGTGCCCGGCGGCGAGCTGCTCGCTGAGCCCGGCCCGAGCCCCAGCCTGAGCCTGCCGGGCGCCCGTAGCGGGGCGTGGCTTTGCGGAGCGGAGAGGCGGCCATGGCGGCGGGGAGCGCCATCCAGATCCCCAGCCGGCTGCCGCTGCTGCTCACCCATGAAGGCGTCCTGCTGCCCGGCTCGACCATGCGGACGAGCGTGGACTCGCCGCGCAACATGCAGCTGGTGCGCAGCCGGCTGCTGAAGGGCACCTCGCTGCGCAGCACCATCATTGGCGTCATCCCCAACACCAGCGACCCCACGTCCGACAGTGACGACCTGCCCTCGCTGCACAGGTGCCGCCGCCGCGCCCTGCCCTTACGGCCCTCGGCCACGCTGCTCCCGCCTGGGCCGCGGCGGTGCCTCCGGGCCGGGGTCGCGCTGAGGGGAGCGGAGCTCTGCTCCCGGGCGGGGGAACTCGTGTGCGTGGGACGGGGGCGGCGCCGTGCGGGTCTGCTGCTGGGCGAGTCCGAGAATGGGAGCCGGCTGAGACGGAGACGCGATCCGAGAAAGCGGTTCGGGGTCATTAGGGCTGTACCGCTTATTAGTGATAGAAAGTCAGTTACTTTGTTCAATGAGAGTAGTGTGGAAGATACAGTTCATGTGAAGTGAAAGCCGGTTGTATTTCTGAGGGATCAACTGTGCATAAAATTAACGTGCTGTATTCCTTGCGAAACTTACATCCATCAGTAGATTTAGTAAGGTTTTGCAGTATGTTTCAATTCTGCTTAAACAGGCAGTTTGGCCAGATAAATGTGATCTAAAGCATTGGTTTTGCACGAGACAGGCAGTTTTGATAGAAAACTGTAAATTATAAAGGATCATTTTTCTACTGTGTACAGTTTGAGCAGAAATGTAGGTGTTCTGTTCCTGTTGCCCAGTAATTTATTTATGAGAAAATTACGTTTCTCCACACATGTATGTGTTACATTACCATCATCCATTTTTCAGTTGTCTCGTTTTTTGAAAATTCAAGGCGTGGTTTCATTGATCTCTGTCACGAAGGAAATCCTCTAAGGTTGCTGATGAGGAACAGTGATGGTCTATGAGGCTCTGTAGCTCAGTTGCTTCGTGTGAGGGGCACATGAAATGTTCTGTGGAAGGTGACAAATAATAGAAAGATTTGATCTGTTTCCAGGATTGGCACTGCTGCTTTGGCAGTTCAGGTGGTTGGTAGCAACTGGCCCAAGCCACATTATACACTGCTGGTTACGGGCCTCTGCCGGTTCCAGATCCTGCAGCTGCTGAAGGAGAAGCCGTACCCTATTGCAGAAGTAGAGCAATTGGATCGACTCGAGCAGTTTACAAATCAGCATAAGTCTGAGGAGGAACTTGGAGAGTTGTCAGAACAGTTCTACAAATATGCTGTGCAGGTAAATTGGTTTAATTTTATTCACTTTAAGTCAGTGCACTGACGCATGCGCTTTGTTGCTTTTGTTTTCCTTTTTTTTTTTTTTTTTTTTTTTTTTCATTTGTTTGCTCTCCTCTCTTTGTACCTCTTACATTTTTTTAGTGAAAGTAGGATTTCTGCTAGAAAGGTATTGTCTTTGGTATGGCTTGAGATTTCCATGTTGAGTTTGAGAATCTATGCAGTGCATTTCAGGATGAGTCTAACAGTACATGTAAATGTTACAGTAACTTTATATTAGTTCTGATGTATTGGTACCGTAAGTACATTATAGCAAAAAACAAAACAAAGCATGTTTATATATATATTTATATATACTTTTGATATATATATATATATATATATATATGTATATATATTGCTTTTGATAAAGTAGTTTTTCTAAAATTCCTGGTACATATAATGGATTTTTGAAGCTGTGTACTATTAAATGGGGAAAAAGCACACCTGTATAGAATCTTTTTACAAACACATGTCCTCAGGTATGATAAATTAAGTGTTTAAAGAGGAACAGAGGAAGGAACTGGGGTGATTTTTAATCAGGGTATTTGAAAAGTAATAGAAGATGTTGGCATTGAAAAAAGCACTAGGAGCAGTGATGGCAATTATGATCTTCTTGAACTAGTATGAAGTCCAGAGTCTTGGTTGCCTATTCTTCTTCTATGTGCAAATATTTTTTTTTCAGAACATTTTTGGCAAAGCGTTTATGCACGTTTAAAGATGCAATGCTCTTAAAATCAGGTACTTGATTAAATGAATTAAAAAAGAAACATCCAACAACTATGAATATTGTTTGTTGTGTGTTCCTTACAGTTGGTTGAGATGCTGGATATGTCTGTTCCTGCAGTTGCAAAGCTGAGGCGTCTTCTGGACAATCTGCCTAGAGAAGCTTTACCAGATATACTGACTTCAATCATTCGTACATCCAACCAAGAGAAGCTTCAGGTATTATGTCCTTAAACTATTTTAAGGTGAAATGTTTGCTGCTTTTCTATAGTTATAATCACTTTTAGGGTAATTTTGACAGGTGGTGATAATATTGTACCAGAAGGTATTTCTGTTACAACCAAGCAGAAATACTTAAATGTTTTCATGCTTTTGCTTCATATGTCTTTCTATATACCTTTACATGAGAATTCACTTAAAAGCTAAATGAATATAGATGGTGTGGGGAACTGTTCATTTCATTGAGTGACAAGAGATACAGCCTGGATTTCATAGAATTGGAGAATGTTTTGGGTTGGAAGAGACCTTTAAGGTCGTTTAGTTCCAGTGCCCCTGCTTGTAGGAAGGTACATCTCCCACTAGACCATGTTGCTCCGAATCCTGTCCAGCCTGGCTTTGAAAACCTCTAGGGTGGGGACAACCACAACTTCTCTGGGCAACCTGTTCCAGTGTCTCACACAACCTTCACAGTATAGAATTTCTTCTGGTATAAATTTAAATTAAAAAAAATAAAAATTTTATAAAATATATATTTTAATATATGAAATATAAAATAAACACAAGTTTGGGTTGGATGTCAGGAAAAACTTCTTTACAGAAAGGGCTGTTGAACGCTGGAACAGGCTCCCCAGGGAGGTGATTCAATCACCATCCCTGGATGTGTTTAAAAACCGGATGGCTGTGGTGCTCAGGGACATGATTTAGCAAAGGGTTGTTAGAGTTAGGGTAGTATGGTTCGGTCACGGTTGGACTCGATGATCTTTACGGTCTTTTCCAACCTGAGTTGGAATTCTATGATTCTATGATCCTGTTGCTACCTCCCCTTACAAAAAGTCCCTCCCCAGCTTTTCTGTAGGTCTCCTTCAGGTACTAGAAGGCCATTAGAAGGTCCTCCAGGTGCCTTCTCTTCTTCAGCCTGATGAGTCCCAGCTTTCTCAGCCTGTCCTTGTAGGGAAGCTACTCCAGCCCTCTGATCATCTTCATGGCCCTCCTCTGGGTCCACTCCATGTCCTTCTTGCACTGGGGTCTCCAGAGCTGGACATAATGCTCCAGATGGAGTCTCACGAGAACAGAGTGGAGGGCATTTCCCATTGCCATGGTAAAGATGATAAGTCTTTCTTCGAATTGTGTTGAAATCTTGCTTATTTAATGAAGCTGACAGATCATTATATAAATTTTGCTTGCTTTCGCACGCCAACTTAAACAAACATGAAAATAAAATAAAGTATAAAATACATGTTTTGTTTTCAAAAGGAAACAAGGAAAATAAGGAAAACATGCCTTATGACATAAGATGATGTTTTTCCGGGGGGTGTTTTCATGGAAGGAGCTCTTTTCTGAGGCTCAGTAATTGAGAAGTAAACTGCTGGTAGATGTTTTCTAGATAAAATGTAACCAAAATAATAAGACAATTGAAAGCAGAAAAAAAAATTATATATTTTTTGGTACTTTTGAATTACTTTGTAGATTTGCTGTCCAGACCTTGAAGCTAGGCTTTGTGTGCTGTATTCTTTTATTTTCTTGCTATCTCTTTTTTCCCAAACCATTTAATTTACAACTATGATCAAAATACTGCAATGACATCCTATGTGTTCCCCTTCTCCTCAGTGATGACTTATTAATGTGAGTTTGTTGGCTTCTCATAACTCCTTGCTCTTAGATCCTAGATGCTGTTAGGCTGGAGGAAAGGTTCAAGATGACTATACCATTGCTTGTTAGACAAATTGAAGGACTGAAGCTTCTTCAGAAAACAAGGAAGCACAAACAGGATGATGATAAAAGGGTATGGACCTTTAAATCTGGGATTCTTAAGCATCATTCATAAATGTAACGATGCACTTTTAAACAGGCTAGTGAAGGTGTGCAATTGTAATCTATTCAAGGTTTTAACCAGTGGCCATAGGATTTAGTGCTTAGGCTGTATCAGTGGAGAACACCCAGCTTGCAACTTCAGCTGTTCAGACATCTGAAAAAGAAAACATTTTTTTTGAAGCTGCCTGGACATCATTTATTTCATCTGAGCACTTTATGACTTCACATAAGGTTCCATTAAATAGTAATTTGATAGCCAGTTGACTTGCATGATATGTGCACACTGTGGTGAAAAGCGTGCAATTTATTAATAGCGTTGAAGGTGAATCATGGCTTTTGAAATACAGGTAATTGATGTGTGTTGTGAAATGTAGTTTGCTTAACTGTGGCAGGCTGCATCTAATTGTACATGTACAGTTTAGCAAACAAGAAATAACTGAGAAATGGAAAAGAGTAAGAGAGATTACACCTGTAAATATTTTGCTTATCCTGCCTAATAAGATGGGCTGCAGTGCCAGCTTTTCAAAATATTGGAAGAGCTTTTTCAATTTTGTTTTTGTCTTCTGTTATCTACTAGATTATGGTGGATGACAAATGTGCTTCGTAAATACATACAGTAAAGTACAAATGGTAACTTTTTAAAGTAGTACCAATAACACTTTAACTATTTATTGGATTAAAATTTTCAGACTTATTCTGTTAAGTAGTTTCTCCCAAATCCTTGTATGTTTTTGTCACGGTTTCCATTAAAAGTCAAAGTATTCACCTTATTTTAAAGAAAAAAACAAACAACAAACTGGTGCTACTCTCTGCCTGTTATCTGTTTCACAGGTTGTAGCTATTCGTCCAAATAGAAGAATCAATCATATTCCAAGCACTGCAGAAGATGAGGAGGAGGAGGAAGATCACGATGATGTTGTCATCCTTGAAAAAAAGATTAGAACTTCCAGTATGTCAGAACAAGCTCTTAAAGTTTGTCTTAAGGAAATAAAGAGGTAGGAGAATTGGAAATGGTGGTTTCTTTCTTAATTTATTTTTTGGAACAAATCTTGTGTTAATGTTTTACGTAATGATATATTTGTGTTGGTTGTGTTTGGAAGTAATTTTTAGAATTTTATTTATGTGCTGCTATTTTGCTTACAAGTTTCCTCTACTTGTTGTTTTGGAACATCAGAGAGGATGACAATTTAGTCTTTTACATTTGGCTTATGAATTAATACAGCTTTAAACTGCAAGCTCTAGATCTATGTTATGAAGTGAATGCCTCAAAAGAAAACAGGGGACAGATAACACCACAGTTGTTAATGATTAATGAGAAAAGTGGTCTGCATATTGATTCTTTTTTCCTTTCTCTGTCTTTGTGAGCATATAACTGCTATTGGGGATGATATGATCATTAACAACCTTGTCAGTGATACCATGTGTGTGTGCGTATGTACATGTCTATATATTTTATATGTATAGTGTGGTGCATGCATCTTGTATCCTGTGTGAGCTTAGAAGTGTGATGCTTGTTTTTTTTCTGCCAATATCATACAAATAAGCTATCATTATGCAAAGACAAATCTTATAATTGATGTAATAGTGACTTACTTTTTTATTAATACAGGTGTTGGAAAGTAAAAGGGTTTCTTAAATATCGCTTTTTTTTACTGCAAGAGAGTGTCTTAGTTTGCTGTTAGTTCCCCACTAGCCTTATTACTTCTATGCATGTACTTCCAGATTAAAGAAGATGCCTCAGTCGATGCCAGAGTATGCTTTAACACGAAATTATTTGGAGCTTATGGTAGAATTGCCATGGAACAAGAGTACGAAAGGTAGACCCTTCTATAATCATTGGCTGTCTCTTGTGCAGGCATGTTAGGACGAGTAGCTGTGATGTAAAGACAGAAGAATGTACTTAGTTCTCTCTCCCAATTTTTTTTGCGTTGTCTCATAGTAAAATGCTATTAGTGGTATCAAGTAATGCAGTTTACCATGTTTAAATAAAGATCTATGTACTGAATAGCCCATGTAGCTCAGTTGCACAGCCAGAAACACAAGTTAAACAAGCAGTATCTACACAATAAAATGGTGGTGGTGTTACTTGCAATCCTGTGCTATTGCATACTTTGTTATTCTAAAAAATGGAATATGGTTACATCACAGTGCAACAGGTATGTTTTCGAAGAGGTTGTGTTATATTTGCTAGTCTTTATGGCAGTCAAGACTTCTATATATTTACAGCTTTTTCATTTTTGCTAACTGCATTTCATGTATGATTAATTGCATCATGCCGTATTACTATGGCAATACAGTGAAACCATGGTTAAAAAAAGATCCATACTGTGCTTCTCAAAATGTTTTTTTACTGTCCTGAAACACTGGAATTGTTTTCCCCTTAATTTTTTTTATTAGTCTCAAACAGACTATTTTATAATCACAGTCTGTTAAAACTTTGGATGCAATAGGAAAAAAAGAAGTATCATCTCAAGTTTTTACCGTTGTTTTCAAAAACTTTGAGCAGAAATTGATATAAATGTAGGAATGAGATACAAAAATGGAGATCAGGAAATTATAGACCAACACGAATTGATTCATTGGGCAGAAATGCTTCCCAGGAGTGTTCTGAAGAATGAAGCTTTTGGATGGCATTTAAAACAATCTACTTTATAAAGAATATGCACACCAGCAGAAACATCTGTCTGTTTTTTGCTTTCTTAGTGTGCACAGTGACAAATGTTGACCTTTTTGAATTAGAGCCTAGCATGTTCACCAATCTACTTACAAATATTTTCTTTAATGACTGACTGGTAAAAAGATCTGCCTACATGTGTCAGTATTACTCAAAAAACCACAGAATGGGTAAAGTGTTTGTTGACTCTCGTGTCCTCTCACAGGAGTTTGCTCTTCAATCTTGCAGAATTATGCAAAGTTGTGGTTTGAAGGTTTTTTCTGGAAACAAAGTTGGAAAAATTATATTCGTATACAAGAGTGATGCTTTGGGCTCCATGGGTAGAGAGAATAAAAATATACGTGAATGGAAAAAGGAGAAATACAATTAAAAAGACCTGGAAAATTATTATCATTAATTAGTTTTTTATTCAGTGATTCATTGCAAAGAATGACATAGTTGATGATGGGAATTTCATAGCAGCTGTCCATAAATGAAATATGCACAGTTACTGGGATGAAGGGTTTGTATCTGCAGTGAAGCTGAAGGGTAGGTTTGTGCAGAGTTGATTGACTTCATTGTTTTCTGCTTTCTCTTTTATGTCATAGAGCAGAGACAGCTGCTTTGTGCCAGAAATTTGTGCTGTCTAATGCACTAGTTAAAGTCCTTTTATTATGCATGACAATTTATCTCAAATTATGGCAATTGTAAAAACCAAATTTTCCCAGTCCTAGTATTGACTGGGTATTTTGCACAGTGCAGTCACTTCAAGTGTATAGCTGGCAAAGCCCGCCATTCAAGCCTTGTGAGGTAATAACACACTGTAGCGTAAATAAGGGAGATGAAGACATAGGTTGAATTCATCTTTTGATAAGACCTTATGGCTTCAGGTTCAGTTCTGTGAGATGACAAATGCTGGAAAATGTGCATGTTGTTCAGCTGCTGTTCCAGGACAGGTATTAAGTTCATTTGAACCAGATTTTAAATCTGTGACACAGTGAAAAGATGTTTCCATTTTTGTTGTTAATTCTCTTATCCATAGAGTGATCTCTCCAGCTTGTGTTTACTTTTCTTCTTAAAAAAAAATAAGGCTTATAATTACCTTAGCAAAATGTTGTGTGGAATATAAATGTGAGTATTGGGTGAATTATGTTGATCAACATGTGAAAATGTATGAATTTCTGTTGCGCAGTAGGATTGTTTCCATTTCTGAAGATAAATGTGCTGATATTCTTTCTGTTGTTAATGATTGATAGATCGCCTTGAAATTCGTGCAGCTCGAATTCTTCTGGATAATGATCATTATGCTATGGAAAAGTTGAAGAAAAGAGTTTTGGAGTACTTAGCTGTCAGGCAGCTAAAAAACAACCTCAAGGGACCCATTCTTTGTTTTGTGGGACCCCCAGGAGTTGGCAAAACCAGTGTGGGAAGATCAATTGCAAAGACTTTGGGTCGAGAATTCCACAGAATTGCTTTAGGAGGTGTCTGTGATCAATCTGATATCCGAGGCCATAGGTATGTATTTCCCTTTTTATTACGTGTAATTTATTATTTTATTACAGAACACACTGATTATTTTTGTTGTTCACATGATGCGGAGGAGTTCTACTTATTTTGAATACTATTATCACTCACTGTTTCTCTTTGGTATTCAGTGGTATTATTCAGGAGAGAATTTTAATAATGAGAGTGGGCATTCACTGTTGACACTTGTTCTTTGTTCTTTTCCGCTACTGCCTTTTTATTCTAAGTGGAGAATGGAATAATCATACCTGGATCTAGAACTGTGGCAAGATCCATGACCCGTGAACTTCATATGCTTGGGATAATTAACGCTGTCTTTATATTTCTAAGTTATTTATAATCTTCAGGTTCCTTAGGCCTTTTTTTTTTTTTTTTTTTTTTTCCATCTCTTTATACATCTACTTCTCAGTTTTCTAGATGATTTTCTTAAATCAACCAGTTTCCCATATCTGCTGGAAGAATAATGAATAGATAATGTTGGTAAGTAACTGCTAAACATCAGTGCAGCATTTTTTGGTTCCATTAAGTATGTCTAATGATCTGTAGAACCATGTGATTTCTCCTTACAACAGCTGGTAAATTATTGCAAATTAAAACTATTAGTTTTTTGATGCTATGTAAGCAGTTAATTTTTCCCAATGGCTGTGCTACTGGCCTGAACTGTCAGAATGCACTACCAGTGTTGTTCCAGTTCCAAATTCACTCCTTTTTATTTTCATGACATAAAATACACCTTGGAATTTTTACCACTTCACTATTAATTTAAATAAAAACTTAAATGTCTAACAAAAATTCATTTTGTGGTATCAGATTTTCCAGTGTGTAAGCTAGTTTAGCATGTGAGTATATTAGAGTACTGCAAATTCACGGTCTCTACTAACAGGAATGCAGAAGGCTTAGTGGGAAATGTACTGAAATTCTTGTGTGTGAACTTGTAACAATCTAGAGTTTAATATACTGTTGGTATGCTATCGATCACTTTTTAGACCAGAATGTGAGAGAAGAAACATTGGAACTGCAATGTTGTATTTGATACACCTAGCTACACCTGGTGTTTGTGGCATGAATGGTATTTGTGAGGTTTTCTTAGGGTAGGTTTGATCAGCATTCACAGAAGACACTGGGGGATTAAATATTGAGTATGGTTGTACGTTTGTTTGATTAAATATATCAGTTTTTTGTGTATAGCAGCACTCTGTGTGGTTGATTAGACACTAATGGAAAAAGAAGCAGAACTGTCCTTCACAGGGTTTTATTCCTTGTATTTCATAAACTGACACTGTTTACTAAGTAAGAATTCTGATGTTTCAAATTATTTATTGTATGAATCCTAAAAAGCAAGCATAGTGCAGCTACTACAAGTTGCTGTTTGATATTGGAACCACTAGAGGTTGTTGAATATTAAGCATTTACAGACATTAAGGAACTTTTTCCAGGGCTGAGTAAAGCTTGAGCTTTTCTGAAAGACCAATGTGTACAAAGCAGATGTTATGGAAAGAAAGTAGGACTGTCAACAGCTGTTACTCAATTGCCAGTAATTTCTTATGGTTGTTTGTTTGTTTGTTTATTTTTGGCTTTGTATCTTGTGTTTGTTTCTGTTATGGAGAGCTGCAGTCATAGGATAATGGCTTCAAAACAGAAATTCAGGTACTTGTGGCTGCCATTACAATATTTTCACATGTTATAAATTGATCTTTAGTATTAAAATAAATACTTAAAATTAGAAAGTATTTGACAAGACAGGAAGAGAAAAATACCATCTAGAATTAACAGGAGTTCTGGATGGTTACTCTTCAACCATGTAGCTGAAGACCAAAACTTAGTGGTGGTTAGTAAGGGTTCCTTGTAATCACCTGTTTTGCATGTTTCATGTTAAGTAAAATCCAGCAGTTGAATGCAGATTTTTTTTTCTGTGTTTCTGTTTCATTGTTTTCTGTTTCTTCTCAGCTTTACTATAGTCTTCCCTCCATAATGTTGTTTTCATGAGTAGATCCTCAAGTTAATCCCAGTCAAGAGAATCCATATTATGCTTCCAGTGGCAATCACGGAAGAGAATTTCAGAAGCAATCTAAAAGTGAAGAAGACATAAGCTCTTCTTCTCCAAGTTTGACTTTTAAGTGGGCCTATTTTCTAATGCTGCGTGTTAGGACCCTCCTTTTTCTCCTTAAGGCTCCTTTTCAGGCTTTAAGGCTTAAGTTAAGCATTCCTATTAATGTTGCAGAAAAATGATAGTAAATGCACCTACTAATGTACTAAACATTTACAGAATGTATCAAATACACTAAAGCATTGAAGAAGAAACTGTGGATGATTTTCACTTGCAAGCAGGTTATTACCTGAAATAGCACTCACTTTGGCAGCTTGTAACTGTTACAGGTGAAAGGAGCAAACCAGTAGATTTAGCAAGCAAAACAAAATATCTTGCATTGCAGTGTGGAGGGCAGTGATGTTTCAGTATGTGTGCTGCTCTGGTTGAGGTGTAGCTTGGGCAGTCTGCAGGCACTTTTGTGCACCACTTACGCATGCATCGTGTGGCTGCAGCTGGGGATTCTGTAGGTTCTTTTTTGACTGGGTGAAGATACTACAGGGCCGCATTCTCAAAAATGAAGTCATCATCTTGCTACAAAAACAGAACTGCTTTATCAGATATGCCCCAGCTGTCGTTAGCATTTACCACTCATCTATTCCATATGTAAATGCTTGCTGTTCCATTTACTGGTAACTGGTATTTATAAAAGCAAAAGAAGACAGTCTGAAATACTTGTTTTTATCTAAAAATTTCCCTGAGTTTAAAATGTCCTCAGTACTGATAGTTCGTTGTATTTAAGAACTGTATGATCTCTATTGCATGTGAGCAAGTTTCTATTTTCAAAAAGGAAAGATGTTGCACTATTTATAATGGTGCTAGTGAGATTTGTTTTTTCCTTCTCTCACCTCTGTGTGAGGCTCTCTTTTTTTTTTATATCAGGCACTTTCCATTTTCTGCAAGTTTGGATAGTTTACTTCTGGTTTAGTCCTGTGCTGAATATTTGCTCAGGTGCATCTGTGCATGAAAAGCTGAGGTTGCACGGGCCTCCTTGCACTAGAAAAAAGCAAACTGGTAATAGGAATGGGAGGGTGGTTGGGCTAGAAACGACTTGGAGGTCATTTCCAACCTTGTGATTCTGTGATTCTGGGTTTTCACCTGGTCAAAGTAACTTTGTTGCACAACTGCAGAGTAAAGATAGGCATGTAAAGTAAGTGCAACCTCTGTCCTTGCAAAAAACAAAACAAGACAAAAAACCTCTGACCTAATGCAAGTAAGTTCATAAACAGCTTCTTCAGTAGTGTGAACTTTTTTCTTTTCCTAATTTTGTGATTTGAAAACCACTATAGTTTAAAACAACTTAAAACTTTCAGTCTGTAGAAAAATATGAAGAAATTAGGTCTTGTTTTTACCAGTAATAGCAGTACTGCTTTAGGGGTTCTGATTCATAAACATTCCCAGTTTACACTGGGAGAGCTGTTAAGTTTCCCAGCTGCCTTTTTTGTGATGCGTACCCCCCAATGACAACTTCAGTGTTTTTAAGGGGTGACTTTTCACTGATCTAAAAATAAGTAGAAAGTTTACGAGGTGCAGACCTTATCTGGCATGATCTGTTGAGGTGTTTTTTGTTGCTGCGTAGGAGCGTGCCAGCAAGATTGTTCTCAACTTCCAGTTTCAGATGGAAAGCAGCTGATTTCTCTTGGTAGGGTGAATGGATGGAGAGAAACTGTGTGTCAAAATAATGAGCAAAGCCACATTTGTATCAAAATGCTAAGATTAGAATGCTGTTTTTCTTCCTTGTAGCTGTAGCTACGAGAGTGGAAATAATGACTAAACATCCTTACAGACAGAGGCTGCTGTTCACAAACAGCAGTATTCAGTTTCCCTAGTTACGAGGCAAAGGTTAATGTCCAGACAGATAAATAGCCATATCTGCTTGTAATTTTAATATGTCATAATGGTTTTATACATAAATTTTTGCAGAATCTATCTTGCAGAGGACTCTTGAGTTGTGTTCCCTAGTAATTCCTAAGATAGGAATAAAAAGGGTATATCTAGGTTTGTATTTTTAATGTAAAGTACTAGGTTATTGTCTGTTGTCATTCTACGTGTGACATTCTTTATTCAGCTTGGAGATCTTGAGTCTGATTAGTAGCCTATAATAGATACCGGTCCATCTTTAATAAATGCAAATGTATTGAAAGCTTAGGTTGTTAGACATGGGAAGAGTGAATCGATACTTAGGCATTTTTAATTCTAAAATTCATAGCCCAAGTTTCTGTTACACATTGTGTAGCATATAAAGTTATTTACTAGTGTAGTAAGCACCTTGTGTAAAAACAGAAAATTGCTGCAGTGATCAGTTTGGTTAAACTGCTGAAAGATTCACTTCTGTGAGCTTCAATTCTGCTTCGGTCTCATAATTTTTTGATTGCATTTTATAGGATCTTTTCATGCTTTTGGCAGTGTTGACTGTGTGCAGATGGAGAATTAAGTGACATGCTAATATAACAGCTCCCCCGTGCAGGTTCTGGGTTGGTAATAAATGTTATGTAGCGTACTTCTCAGTGGATAGGAGTGTACTCACTCACTGCAGAATGAGGCTCTGCACAAAAGCAGTGAGGTGACAAACTAGTGCATGCTGGCTGCTCCAGTCTCTAGCAGCTGTCTCGTGAAGGTGGTAATAGGCGAGTTGAAATTCTATTGCATTTCTGGCTGCTTAAAAGATGTCACTAACCTTTATCTTTGCTCAGATCCACAATTGAATATTGTATCTTCATTTTTTATTTTTTTTCAGTCAATTGCTAAATATTACCTGGGTCTGACATTTTTTCCTCTGTTTTCTCTGTGTTTGGAGGCCGTGTTGTTTTTCTTTTAAATTTTTTTAAAAATATATTTAAGGGTTTTGTTTTGTTTTGAAATTACTCCCGTGGTATTTATTTCATCATTTTAAATTTCATCCTGTTTGTTTTGGACTGCCCGAAAGCAGAACCTGTGATAAAGCCTGTTCTGCGTATGTGCTTTGGGAGGATCGTGAGATAGGCCTTCAGCACTTCATGTAATTCAGCACTTCATGTATCCCTTTCTTCTGAGTGACTAGTGTTTTATACTATTAATTACTGTATTTTGTTTAGTTGGGCTCAGGCAGAAGAAACTGTGATAAATGCAGCACAGAATGTCTCTACATGGATGTGAAATGGGATTGCTGTATGTGTTGCGAAGTTTTACCAGCATTGCTGAATAAATTCAGATGCCTTTTTGTACTCATCCAGTTCACATTTCATAATGTTTCAACATATTGGGACATATTACCTAAGTTGTAACATGCTTGTGTGAGCTCTGTTGTGGTGACAAAAACCCATTATTATTATTTATTATTAAGCTGTTAGTATTAATAAAATTCCCAAATCTGCTTCTGCTTGTTCATACAGTACAAACATACTTGTACTGGTTCGTGTGAAATGCCTGTAAGCCATTAAATTTCCATATATTTAGATGCATATGTAGTTTGTCTTCCCAGACCAACTAATGCACCGTGGAACTTGAGTTTACACCTGCTGATACAATTGCTAGTCTTAGTTAGATGCATATTCCATATTTTTTGTCTGTTAGATGTAGAAAGTTGTTCAGAAGTGGAAGAATCGTTACAAGATTTCCTATTCTTGTATTTTCCCCTGAGAGATTGTCTTTTTAATGCTTCTACTGTTTTTCCATGCATCTGACCCATATTTTTCCCATCATATATTTATTGCTCACAGGCGCACCTACGTTGGCAGCATGCCTGGCAGAATAATCAATGGACTGAAGACTGTTGGGGTTAATAATCCGGTGTTCCTTTTAGATGAGGTTGATAAGCTGGGGAAGAGCTTGCAGGGAGATCCTGCAGCAGCCTTACTAGAGGTAAGAGCTATCAAACTACTAACATTTTTTTAATTTGTAACTAAAAAGAATTAAAGTATTGTATATTATATACTGAAGATCGTTCACATCTTATTGTCCTAGCACTATTGAAGAGGAAAGGGAGGCACGAGAGAGGTAGTAGTGTAGCAATGGTCTGCTAAAGTGAAAAACTTAAGGCTTTCCAGAGGAGACATAGCACTAGTGCACTTAATGATTTTGGTATTGTGTACGTTTAGAATTTCATTGTACTGATTTATTGTCTAAAACTTTTGTGTGTTCTCTCTAACTATAGAGGCTACCATCCCACCACTGAAAAACTTGAGCTGCTTCTGTAGTTCTTTACCTGTTTCAGTCAAAATCAGTTGGATTAGTGAAATACATACCTAAATTTTTAGGGCTCATTTTAGCTGAAATGATTTTGGGAGTAGTCCTGGAAGGATCTCAGTTTTCAGTAGCTGGGAGGTTGTGGGAGGGGATGAAAGTAAGTAGTTCTAGTGATATTTGTGCACAGTGACATTTTAATGACTTTTTTACAGGTACTGCTTAATGTAGTGCTCTGAGGATGAAAAATACTACTTGCAGTTATGTTTAGGTGTCATGTGCTCATCTGTGTGCTATGTGGCTTTCTACAAATAAAATGTCATTCTATGGATGTCATTGTTCTCTTCCTGCTAGATAGTATAAAATTACTATTTTGGCAAAGCCAAGTAGTTCTTTTAAATTCAGTGTCTGAATGGGTTAGGTGTGAGAGCTCTGCTTTTATCTTTGCATGTTAATGTGATCTAGCACTGCTAGAAAATAATGTGGCTTTACTTATTCAGCTTTAAAAATGACAGTTATGGTACTTTACCTGTCTATTTCTCAGATGTGTGGCATACATTTCTAGAATGCAAAGAAAATAACCAAAGGAGTCTAACAAATATTTAAATTTTCTTTGTATTTTTCCCTTATGAGATTTTATTTAATCTTTGATGTTAATGATAATGAAATCTATTTCTTTATTTACTTTTTTTTTTTTTTTTTTTTTTTTGTCATTTTTTCTATGGTCATTAGACTAAACTGACCTTACGCTGGTCAACACATGGATAAAATTATACCTGAAAGTCAAATTCCTTTAGCTTGCTGAATGCGGTTTCCTAGGCAGTCAGTCACTAATAAAGCAATGATTTGTGTTTCCTGGAAAAGAGAATAATTTTTTTTTGAAAGTGTTCTGCTTACAAATCTTGAACATTAACATTAATCTGTTAACATTGTTATTTCTATTCAAACTTTGTGTTGCTTTTCAAATTATATTTCTTTCTCTGTCCTGCAGCAGATAAATGATCATTTCTGTTCTTTTCTTGTCCTGTCAAACATGTGAAAGCAAATTAAATGAATTTGTTTTTGAATTATTTGTATTTGAATATTTTATTTTATTTTATTTTATTTTTTTCTTCAACTGCTGTGGGAATACAATGTTTTCAACATTTAAAGCCTTAATCTTAGTGCAGGTACACAACCCACCTGCTGTGAATTATTCTAGCTGAGGCCCATCAGGTTAGCTTTCATCCGTCTGCTTGGGCTGCAGTCTTTATGTAGGTTATTGCTAATGTACCAAAGGTTGCTTGTGGAGAAGTAATTGCTCTATTGACCATGTCTGGGTTGCTCCCATGTGAGTTCTGTATATCCCTCTACTGTTGTCTGAACATCCTGAGACAGGTGCTTACCTCCAAAAATGGAGAACATGCTTGAACATAACAGCTTAATTTTCATCTGCTTTTGGTCTTATATGTTGTTGGAAAGTGTGTCTGCAGTGCACAAAGATAACTGTTATGTAGGAAAGCTAACAATAGTAAGTGATCACCTAGATGACGCTCTTGTTTTTCAGATTTCTGTTTCTTGTTTGATAAGTGCTGTCATTATGTATAAGTGGTAGTCCTTTTTTCTTTATTGTGCAGGTGTGTTTGACACTGTCTGCAGCACAGTGTAGAGTGGAGGGAGACTGTCATACTCCGTGAGCTTGGAAGCAAAGCTCAGTGTTCCATAATTGCTGAATATGTGTTAAGGTGCTGCTGCAGAGTTGGTGCTTGAGCAAAGCAAAATGTCGTCTTATCCCTGGTTGCTGTTCATCAACAAGGGAATGCTTTGGTCTAAATTTAGGTGACCTCAGTTTAAAATAGAAGAAAATAGAAATGGATTCAAGTACTTGATAGTGAGTATTTGTATGCAGGAAATCAGACCAGGAACATAGCCAGGCAATTAAATGTTCATGGAACTTGTGGATTTGGGGGTAATAAAATGCTGATATAGAGAAGTCTTTGTATATATGTGAGCTGTCAACCATAAATTAATCAAGATGTTTTGTTCACTGAATGCTCTTTTTGTACTTAATATTTTTCAATTGGTTGACTATCTGAAAACTTTTGAACTTGAACTTTGGCACAGATACCTAGCTAAGGAACAGCTCTGTTTGGTTTGGAAAATCTGTGCTAAATGTATGGGTATGGTCCTGTTTTATGTCTTACTCTAAGAAATGATTACTGTAGCAATTAATTATTAGTGTATAGAAACTAAAGCCCATATATGAAATACCAGATAATTCACATCCATTCAGCTTGCTTTACCTTTATCGGCTAGCATTGTTTGTGCATGAGTAGAATAGCATCACTATGCTATATATAGTATAATGTTCTAATGAGCAGTCTAACACTTAGTAGAAGTTGTAAGAATTTCTAGTTACAGACTACCAGGAGAAAGGGGTAAATGTATTTATAACCATTAATGTAACAAAAAAGCACTCAAATGCTTGAGTTAATAGACTGGAATTTTGTGGAAATACTGTGTTGCCTGTGCAAGCTAGATTAGGATTTGCTGTTCAGATCAGTTTTGAAATTTTTTTAAGAGTACGCTTTGAATGGAAGACTAATGTTTGATATAGATCAGCTTTAAAGAAAGTTGCAGGTATTCTGCTTGGATGCACTGTATGTAATTGTGTCCCCCTGCCTTTTAGGACTAGATCTTAGGACCAGTGGAGGTAAAAAGCAACTTCCTAAGCTCTATTAACACTACCGGTGGAATCATCCATCTGTGCACTTGACTAGACAGGAAACTTCATGGCCTGTGCTTTTGTCAGTAGAGAAGGGAAAAAAGGATAGTAGCTGTCTGCGGGAGAGGGTAAGAAAAGAAGCTTTTCAGTGGCTTGTAGCCAGTGAACAATAATCCTCACAGAGTTACAGCCTTAGTGAGTTAGAATTTAGGTATATGCTTCTGTATGTTTAAATTTTTCAATATCAAGGAGGAAGTATGATTTGTATTTACTGTAGCCACAGTACATTTCCATATATTCATCTAAAATATTTGTAGTATTTCAAAATGAAAGCAGAAATTGTTCTACTTAAAAGAAGTTCTGCTTTGTTTTCAGTATGCTAGGAAAAAAAAAATTTCAGAATTACTTTTATCCAACCTAGCTAAGAAGTGTTCAGATTCAATTTTTTATAATTAACACTGTTCTTGGCTATGATTCAAATTACTAAGACATGTGCATTCATCTTGGTATAGGCAGATACATTATTTTGACAGCAGTGTGCTAATTCTCTAGAGATGCTAAGGTCCTATTATTTGTAAAGTGAGAATTATTCATGTCAGTGTAACACCGATAATTCAGTATGTGGGAAGAAAAAGCATGGTAATGCTTTAAAGGGGGGGATAGAAAGAAGTTGGTACATAAATGGTAGTAAAGAACAATTTCTGGTTGCATGAGTGGGAGCGCAGTGAGTGAGAACAGTCAGAGTGGATTTATACCAGGGCAACTGATTCCTGACTGACCAGATTGCTGCTTACAATGGAGAGATTACTGAATTTGTGGACAGAGGGAGAACAGCAGATGTAACTTACTTTGATGTTAGCAGTACTTCCAGCAGTTTTGCCCCCAACGTCCTTCTGTGTAAATTGTAATGGTACAGAGTGTTTGGGTGACAACTGATGGCATGCATAATTAGGCTCAGACTGCAGTGGTTAATGGGTCCTACTCTGTCAACATGCCTGTAATATATTGAGTGCCAGCGTACCACAGGCTGCACAGGAAGCTGTCCTGTTGCTGTTATTAACAGTAATCTCAAGGAGATGAGGGCATGCACTTGCATCACATTAGCAGATGATGCCAAATTAAGGAGGAGCAGTCAGTAGGCTTGAGGGTAGGGCTGCCATCCAGAGGGACCTAGACAGGCATAAAGTGGTGGCCAGCAGGAACCTGAAAAATTCAGCAAGGACAAGTGCAAAGCCCTGAGCTTGGAGAGGAGCAACTTTGTGCAAGGATGCAAGCTGAGGACTAGCTGGCTCTGGGCAACTCTGTTGTAAAGCTGGAGTCCTTGTTAACACCACAGTGAACGTGAGCCAACAGTATACTCCAGCAGTTAAGATGGCAAACAGCATCAGGAGTTGTGTTAACAGGAGCATAGCCCATAAATCAAGGGATGAGATTATCCTCTTTACTTGGCAGTTGTTAGGCTGCAGCTAGAATAGTGCAACACGCTTTGGGTTTCCCAAAGCAAACAAGATATCAAGAGAATATGTGTAAGATTAGTTTGGAAGCCTTTTGTTAATACATTAAATTATATCAGTTGTGAACAATATTAGTATAAGATGGTCCTTTGGAAAAGAAATAAGAAGAAAACACTTCACATTGAGAATACTTACTCAGATATATTTGCACTCAAATTCCTCTTTACCTCTGTATAAATTGGCTAGAAATGTTTGTCTCTGGCAACATGAACTGAACATGGTGCATATTAAGTTTCTCTTTTGTGACCTAGCTAAAATAGAAACTGATAATTTCATGTATGGAGGGAAACAGCTGAGAGAATTTTGTTTTGTCCATTCAGTGAAGAAAAGCAAAGACTTCTTTTTTTCAATAATTGTGCTAATCATATAAGTACACTGATAATGAAAGGAAATGTTACGTTCCAAAAGTATAGAGAGTGAAGATAGGTTGAACCTCGGATGTAGAGTTAAGTTGCTCATAGTGACCTCAGTCTCCTAAAGAAGTCCTGCACGGGACCTCTTCAGCCTTTGGAGTTAGCTGCCCATCTAAAGTTAGGCTGTCTGCAGTGGCTGGAGATATTGCTGGCATTGTGTATTAGAAAACTTGGAAAGTTGTTAGGAAATTAAAAAAATAAAAAAATAAAATAATAATAATTAAAAAAAAATAATTAACAAAAACCCCAAACCTGTTTGGTATGTGATATGAAATCTAGTTCAAAGTAATCTGAGTTTGGCAGGGTATAACGAAACTTCGGTAATATTCATAGTGTATTTTGTAAATGTAAAGTGAGGTTGACAGATGCTAGTAGAGTAATGACAAAATGCTTAAACTTCATTTAGTTCGAAGTGAACAACTGCATTAATTTTGTTAACTCTTTTTAAGGTCCTGGATCCCGAGCAAAACCACAGTTTCACTGATCACTACTTAAATGTAGCCTTTGATCTGTCCCAAGTCCTTTTCATAGCTACAGCCAATACTACAGCAACTATCCCACCTGCTCTGCTCGACAGGATGGAAGTCATTCAGGTTCCAGGTAATGCTGAAGTGTTGTCATTGAAGTGGCTATTGCAAGTCCTTAAACAATGTTTTACCTGGAATAAAAAGCATTTCCTCAGGCTTCCTAGGAAACTGGACTGATAGCTAAAATCATCAAAAGAGGCTATTTGCAGTGCTTCCTTTACTGTCTCTGTCACTTAAGAAGTAATAGTATGAGAAGACAACTTACTGAACTAAACTGTTTTCTGGAATTATGATTTCTAATTGGTGTGAAGTAATGTAGTAAACTAAGGACTGCAACTTGTACAGGAGGTACAAGTTTGTGGCCTTACCTTTACAACCTGAACTGGGAGCCTGCCTTCTATACACAGTAGCTAGTTTTGTTCCTGTAGCACTCACCAAGCCATGGGAAAACTGTGTTCCACTTTTTGTGCTGAAGACTATTTGTCCTGCTACATAAAATAATGATTTGATAATATACTGCACCTATCCTTTCCCTTTTCTTTTAGACTGCCTAATGACTAAGATATAGCAATCCAGGGTGGCTGCCACCACACAAGGCATCAAAACATCAGACTTTTAGGATCACTGAAATAGTGACCAATGCTGTCTTTTCTTCATGTGCATGCATACATATGATGCCCAGTTTTCTAGACATATGCAAAATATGTTTAATGATTACCCTATCAAATTAAGCTCTGTTTAGAGATGTAGAAAACTTGTGCATCCTGATGCCATGTACCTGAACTGAGAATTTCTTTAACAGGAGGAGTTATTTCTTGGTATGTGTGCCCAGCAGCTTAGTAAGCTAGAACTACGGTGAAAGTAAATGAGAATGTTTTTCTGATTCTTCTGAAGTCTTTCTTTAGGGCCCCATGTCATTTTTGTTTTTAAGGTAATTTTAAGGTAACCTTTTAAATTCAGTCAGGTATGAAGTTGTAATAAGTTTGACATTATAGTGTATAAGCAAACAGATTAGTAAAAATATTCTTTTTTCCTAGGATATACACAAGAAGAAAAAATTGAAATTGCTCATAGACACTTGATTCCTAAGCAGCTTGAACAACATGGCCTTACTCCGCAGCAGATACAGATTCCACAAGTAACCACTTTAGACATAATTACAAGGTAAACCTGTTACTCGTCACTTCAAGTTTTCAGTAACTTGTTTTTCTGGTAACTAGCAAATTTAGAAGTGATAATACAAAGCATTTTGTAGGATCTATTGTCCTTAACAGGCTTGGAATTCCAAAAAATAGTAATTTTTGGAATTGCTTTTTCTGTGCTCATTTGGGTTCTGCTTTCTAAACTGAACCTTTCTTCCTCTCCCTTCCCTTGTTTTTGGTTCTCAATCAGTGGCTCCCAATCAGCTGTGTTGGCACCATTGATAAGGCAGTATAAATAAATAGAAACATTTGATGCTAATATTGCTGCAGTTTTCAGTATGTGCATCCATGGTTTTGGCAACAGGCAACTTTTTTTTCTTAAAGAATGAAGTTTTATTTCTGTCATCTTCATAAAAAAAAAAAAAAAGGAATTATCATTTTGTTTCTTGTGAATGATGGACCACATTTGTCTAAAATTGGAATTAGTTAAAAATAAAAATGCATTTTTGAAATAGCTTGTATTAATTAGAACTACTGTGTTTGTTGAACACATTAATCAGAACATTTTTTTGAACTTGGAAGTGACTTGGTCACAATGAAATAAGTGTATTGGTAATGAATGAAGTATTTTATGACCAAGAACAGAATTCTGGGCATTTAGTAAGTGCTTCTGCCTGGCATTTCTTTTTAATTCATAGGTTAAAAGAAAATATTCTTTTTCAGTCAGTTCATGTAATTTCAATGATCAGTGTTTTGAATTTAAAAATGGGTCGGTTTCTCTGAAAGTAATGCCTCCTATTTATTTCCATGGAAACTACAACTGATACAAAGAGCACAATAGCACTGTTTGATAGAGCAAATTCTCCTCTACAGAACACTATTTTTCAACATAATCACACTGTGCTTTTTTGACAGCAGTTGAACAAGGGCCTGCATGCCATGCTCATAACAGTCTGTATCAGTGGACATGACTCGCTGTCGCCACTGTTGAAACCTACCATTCACCACCGTGCTGTGCTCACATCCACTGTTTGGTCTCCATAAATGCTCAGCAAGTAGCTGTGAATGTCAGTGGCTGCTATTTCTTCTGCATGGAGGAATTCAATGACGCACCTTTGTTTCATCCACACCTCCATGTCAGATGCAGTTTTGTCAGGCAGCCATCTGTTGCACAACAACCAAATATAATGGAATTGGTGGGAAGGTTCAACCTCTGCTGCTGTACCACCACCATCCACCTCTGACATCATGGGGCAACATAATAAAATAGAAGGCATTATTTTTGGAGCAGCCATTTTAATATCCTGTTGCAGTATTTTATGATTAGAGAAGAGCTCATTGTTTTTGGAGCATTGTATAGCATTTCATTAAGGCTTGACTCCAAGTGTTGCTTATGTTTCCTTCCAACTCAGTAATTTGTCTTTCTCAATTTTATCAGCAAATTATTTGTGTTATTAATGTTATTTGTGTATGATAGCCCAAGATCTTACTGCCTTCTACATTTCATTTGGATGTGTTTTTAAAAAGAAAATGTGTTTAAATACAAACGAAATGTCACTTACAACTGTGTCTACACCAGGTACACTAGAGAGGCAGGAGTCCGCTCTCTGGATCGAAAGCTGGGGGCTATTTGCAGAGCAGTGGCAGTGAAAGTGGCAGAAGGGCAGCACAAAGAAACAAAGCCTGATCGTTCTGAACTGGGTGAAGGAGAAGGTGTGTATCTTTTTTGTGTTTCACTAAAGAGGGCTCCTCTAACATTGCAGGCTCTAGTTCGCTGATTTATCAATGTTTTAGCCTTTTCTATGCTTCATCAAAGGCTTTATTTTCAAAAGCTTTGCAAATAGACTAACATTCTTAGTGTGCACATTCAAGTAGTACTGAATTATGGCTTGGGACAAAAATGGAATAATTTCAGCCTGCCAGAGAGTGGTAACTGAGAAGGATAGTGGATCTGTTTGTTATCTTAGGTAGGCAGTTCTGATTTGTGTATTTTGTTATGCTTTTTAATGCAAATCTTATACTTTAATTTTTCTTTAATAAAAGGCTTAGCAGTGTAAAGTAAGTGACTCTAAAGTAAGTGACTGCTTGGAGATCTTTGGAATTAGGAAGGTTTGGAGGCTTTTTTAATGTGTCTTTGACTGCAGCGTATCCATCACTTGAGGTCAATTCATTTAACTTACTAGTTAGAACAGAATCCTAAGAAATGATGCTTCAGGGATCTTTAGTGATGAGAGTCTTAGTGCTTTCTGTTTATTTGTTTATTCGCTGTCTTGAAGAATAGGAAGCTTTGACTTTTCACTTAGCTTTAGAACAGTAGAATTGTTAATTTTGCATTTTAAAAGTAGTACAATTTGTATTTGATCCAAATTTGTAGTAATTCTTAGTCTCCCGGATTTTGTGATCTTCAGTAAATCTGTTTTTCTTCTCCAAATATACAGAAGACAGTGATGTATTATTCCCAGTGATCCAAAAATCTGTAAGCTTTGTTAGCAATTGAATTGCAGTTCAAGGAAGATGTTTGAATTGCAGTTCAAGATAGATGAGAAGTGTGAAAGGACTGAATCTGTAACTGAGCTTATAAAACGTGGCTATTTTTAAGAATTAGAATAGGCTGGGATGGAGAAGACCTTGAGGATCATCAAGGCCAACCATTAACCTGACCTGCTGAGTGCCGTTGGTAAACAATCTCCCTTAGTGCCCCTGTAGTCACAATAAAACCTAGCAAGCAAGGTGTTGGGTGATTTGTTCATTTTCTAAATATTGCTGTGAATCTGGTTGACTCTTTTGGACTGGAAGTAACTGCAAGTCTTTGTGCCAGAAGATACTAGAAAGCAAAAACTGCTGAATGGCTGCTTACTTTTGCTTGAGACATGAAATACTAACAAGACCTATTGGCTTGATGTTGCAAAAGATTCTACAAGTAAGCCAATGTCAAAAAGCTTATGGTTTTTCCCGCAGCAAGAATAGTTGCCTGCTTGTTTTCAGGAGAACAATTAAGGGGACTTGTAAGCTGCCTTATTTTATTGGAGAAGATAATAAGTCTGAATGGTTACCCCTTACACTTCAGAGTAAAATCAAGGGCAGGAAATAGAACTGTATAACAGTATCGTTAATTACAAGAGCATTTGAAGAAGACTCTGACTCTAGAACTGGTCTATTTATTTACAGTCTTTCAGCTTTTTCTTGCCTTTTTCTCCTAACTTGGTATTTCATTTCTGAAAATCACGTCTTCTTTTATGTTGTTGAGTTTTCTGTGATGATCAGAATGTCTATGAAAAGTACCTGTAATAACAGAAGTTTGCATTTGGACCACAAATCAATGGTTGCTTAAGTAGATACAGCTCAGTTTTCTCTGAAGGCTTCAGGAAGGTAATCTTTCACATTAACAGTGGCTATGCATGAGTGAATGACTGTGCAGTTTAAATTGTCCCATCTGTGTGCATATTTATCAATGCTTTCTGTTTCTATCTATATGCACTTCTTTTTGCTGAATTTTTCTGAAATCAGATTCTGAATTTGTTGACACTTCCATGATGATTGTAGTGCCTCCTGAACCAGGCTGCTGAGGCTTTAGGCTGTGGTAGCAATGCTCATTGGCAGCAGGCAAAATCAGTTAACCACTGCCACTGCTGTGATTTTGACCTGATTTGCATTTCTGAAGTATTTATTTGCACTGAAAGATGGCAAAATATGTTTAAAAGATCTAATATGATTGCTGAATAGAAGACCTATTATCATCCTGCTCTTCAAGTCTTTCAGTAAAATAGAGAAAAGTAGCTTCAGAGCACAACTGATCTTGTAAGAGGAAGCATTTTACTATTAAAGCACAGAATGAAAAGGAGCTGCAGTAGATATTTTGATCCAGTGAGAGAGGCATTTGCAGTGTTAAAATTAGCACTGTGCTTGCAACTTAGGAGAGGTATTTATACTGTTAAATTTAGTATGGGACTTGGGACTTAACAAAGTTAAGCAAAACCAGCAATCTCAGTGCTCCAAAAGAGGGAAAAATGTGAACACTTCTGGTTGACACATGATTTGGAACAATTTCAAAAGAAATGGTCTGTAGTTATCTTTGTGCTTCTGGAATTGAAATTGTCCATAAGAAAAAGCTGCATCAATAAAACAAAGTCCATAGGAGAAGTGGACCTATAGTTAAACTGGAGTATTACGAAGACACGTAGAGAATGGTGTGGTCAACAAAATGCTTCTTATTTTCTGCTAATGATGTGCTCATACCCAATTGTAATTTTAGCAAAATATGTCACTTACTGAGAGTGTACGAGAATGGGACACTCATTTGAAAACGAAACAACAAGAGCAACAACAGAACTCTTGTTTGACTTTCATTCAGTCTGGAAACAGTCAAGTATTTAAAACAAAACTTGGGAATAATCCCCAAACTCTCTATACTTGCAAGTTGATGCAAACAATGGGATTTATAACCTAAATTTCTTAATTTCTTTCTTTGATTGTATTGGATCTTTTTTTTTCCTGTTCTAGAGTGGACGTTTTTGCTGTTGTGCACAGAGACGGTGAATTTTGATTTCATGTAGTTAAAGACTGGAAGAACCATTGATCAGGTTGTTGTGTAAACATCATTGCGAAAATTAATAGTTTAATTTTAAACTATTTCCTCATTCATTTATTTATTTTTATTTATCTGTAGAAAACATCGTAATTCATTTTTGTTTTAAACGTTTGTTAGTGGCTGATGTGGGATTGAGACTGCAGTTTATGCATTTGCATGTCATGGGTTTGAATATCAGCGAGTACCCTACAAGCTCACCTTTGCTAAAGCATATTTTGTGTGTGATTTGTAGGATATCAGAACAGTGATGTGCGTATGGAGTTTATTCAGTTGAGAGCCTTCCAGCTTGTGGTATTACAATAAAAGGTGAAAGTAACGAGATGCTAAAATCACAGAATTTCCATCATATTATATTGATTAAATCAGATCATTAACGTAAGTGGAGCAAGTGTTTCCAAGTCTTTGTAGGCACACAGCTTTTGACACTGTTTAGTAATAGGTTCTAGGAGTGCAGGGTGCCTGCTGTGGCAGGCTTAATGCAAGGAGGGACACTGTCCCTTTCACAAACAGTGTGTCTGAGATACACTGGCAGCTTTGTATTGCTTTTCTCACTCCTTTGACTCCTGGTCTTCATGACGAAGTTGGCAAGTGGAAGGCTGTTAGTTTGCGTCAGTCATTGGATTTGTATAGTAAGCTTCAGCAAAAGCAAATGGAGTCATCTTTCTGACCTCTGCAGAGAGGTCTTGTGTACAGTAACATCATCCTTGTATGCAGTGACACACAGTACCTGCTATTTTACTGAAACTCTATCTCAGGTTTATGAGATGCTGCTTTAGACTTTGACGCTAGAAGAAATTCTAAGAGTGACAAAAACATGTGAGACTTTCCTGTTTTAGAGCAGCGGCCTCGAGAGTACAATGCAGCAGCTGAGTCCTAAGGCGTCTTATTGTGGTACAGTGGTTGAAATGCAGGATGAAAATGTGTCTTTTAACTTCTACTGTGATACATGGTTGTTCCTCTGTGATCAGTGGGAACGTGTGTATGTCATCAGTAGTGAAAATCTTAATGCATATGCATACATAGAACTAAGTGGAAAAAGAACAAGCAGAAATAGGAAATGGTGTTGGTTAGATAGTAAAGCCTTCTAAGTTCACTTTTGTTTTATAACATGAATTGCAGTATCAAATGGCTTGGGTTTTGGAGTAGTACAGTTGAAAACTGAGTTGCAGGAATAGCAACTCAGTTGCAGGGTTATGTTTCCTAGACTTGCTAGTATTTATGTATTTAAATTTATTGTGTACAGAAATAGTAGCTCAACAAAAATACAGAGACAAGCTGGAACAACAGGAGGGCCTTCTGACTAAGGCAGTGTTTACAGTAAAGGAATAGGATTTATGCATTGAGCAATGAATTGTTGTACAGTGGAAGATACAGTTGCACTGTTGAATAATAACTACTAGATTTTAATGCTGCGTGAAAGCTGTTAATATTTTAGTAGTGATATTGATGTAGAATGTTTTCCTTGGTATTGTGTGGATGCACTAGTGAGAACTGTAGCAAAATTAGCAGTAAGAAAGCTTTTCTTATACATCAGGGTTAATAAAAGTGTGGTTTGTATCTCATGAAGTGAGACATTTTCTCTTATACTGAATGTGGCACAGAGCACCTCTTAATGTAATGTTAAACAGATCAGATCATCGATTGGTTTCCACAGCTGTTTGAAGTTCTGTAACTTCAGTTATTGTATGTGCATTAATATGCAAAGGAAGACAGTTTCTTCATTGAATGGGAAAAAAAATTCTAAGAAAGGAAACAACTGTAGACAATTTTCCAAAATGTGCTGCAGAAGGCTTTGGAGCTCAGTGCCTGGTAATGAAGGCTGTTGCTTAAAATGTGCCTTGATTTTGTACGTTTGGGATGGGATGAAGCATCTTCAGTGCATGTATTTGCACAATGCTTGAATGACAGCCTCGGGGAAGGGAGGCATTGCTGTAGAACTCTGCTACAAAACCTTAGAAACATCTGGACTGTTGAACTATTTTTCATTTCTCTGATAAATGTTTCGCTAAAATATTGCTTGAGGCTCTCAAGAAAATAGCAGTGAGTCCCTTGCATTTGGCTCACATTCGATGGAAAGTCACTCCCTGCTTGCATTCTCCTTCTGTGTGCAGTAATTTAAGTATGTGTCAGTGTAAGCCTAATACAAATGAAGTTTAAAACAATTTTGATGCTTTGATGCTTATGTGGTCTTCATTACAGTCCATTTTTGTGCAGAAAACAAACGCTATAGAAAGCCAAAATTTTACCAGTAAGGAAACAATTGTATAATCAAGAACACAATCATACTTAAAATGGAGGCAGAAAAGAATATGCTTTTGAATCTGTAACTGTTGCTGCAATTGTCTGGTCCTTTCTTGTTGACCCTTGAATATGTTGTATTCAAAAGGGTCAGGCCAGTTGGGTTTTATAGCCCTGCCAGGAGCGTGCATCGCACCTACAGATATATCTGAAAACAATGAATAATCTGATATTTGGAGTTTGTTTTGCTGCTAGTGTCTTTTATTCAAAACACATTAGAAATACCTCCTTCAACAAAATTGCAGAGCCATGTTAAAGGATAATATTTGAAGATAAATGGAAGCCACAGATGAAGGTAATTACAGTGAAATTGTTTGCAGATTTTCACTGAAATAGGGCAGTATGTGCTGCGTGGTCAACTGGGTGTTGAAAACTGATTTTGTGAATTAAGATTTTACATAATGAAGCCATAGTAGTCATAGAGACAAAAATTGAAGTGGAAAGCATAATGTGAGAATATTGCTACCTATTGCTGCTATTTGACCTACTTAAAAACATACTTGAGCACGTGAGTCGTACATCTGTCAATGGTCTAGATTAAATATTATCCTCATAGAACTGTTAGGACAGGTTTAGCATAAGTAATTAAAATTTGATACTGTATTACCTTTAACTTGTCAAGAATTTTGTGAAAGATAACTTTAAGCTTTCTTTCATGAGCTTTTTAGGTAATTCCTCTTGAGTGTTTTCCTGTCGTAATTTCTTTAATTCCTCTGTCAAAGACTGTTACAAATCCTAAATTAGATTTTCTTCTCTTAGACTGCAAAGAACATGTCACAGAAGACGCAAAATCAGAATCCATCAGTGACACGGCTGACCTGGCTCTGCCACCTGAAATGCCAATTTTAATTGATTTCCATGCTTTAAAAGACATCCTGGGGCCACCCATGTATGAAATGGAGGTAAGGTCTTCATTCATTTCTGTTTGACTCTTGTTCTGTCTGTTTTCACTGGTTGTCTATCTTATTGCTGTTGGCTGAATTTATACATTGACTTACTAATATGTGCATCAGAAATAGGACTGTGTTTCTTTGTGTTCCACCAAGCATTTTTTCACCTCAAGAATATGTGTATATTCAACTGAGTACATAAATAACATAATGCCAGGACTTCCTGTTAACAAAGATGCCTCACTGCGGCACTGCTTAAGAATGTGGTGGCATTTTTTCAGTTCATAACAGCTTTGCTTTTGTTTGAGGAACGTTTTGTGGTCTTGGGAAATAAGCCAAAATGTAACTCAGGATTCCTCTCTCTAACAGCTATGTTAAGGACTGTCCAACATACCTCCATAATGCCTATCAGTGTTCTTGGTTATTAAAACCACTTCACTTTAGGCTGGATATTTTCAAACATTCTTCTTGTTAATGAAACTCTTATCTATTACAAATAATTTTAGGATCAGTCAGTCACCTCCAGCTTGCTAGAGTCTGCATTGTTCCTCAGCTGGCGTATTACAGAATTCTTCCCCAGCCATAGTTTGCTATATTTTATGGAAAAGGCCATTCACGAAATTATTTAGTTACTTAAGCATTCTCCTTTCACTATTTACATTTCAGTTATTCTCTGCTTTACTTTAGGCCCATGTGAACTTACAGGTATATATAATACTGATGGCAGGCAGTTGTCTGATGGAAAACCATTTTTTTTCCTTTTGTTCTCCTGGAGAAAAGATTGGTAAACCAGTAATTTATGGGGGAAATAGCAGTGAAAGAACTTTAACAAACGTCCAACTTCTGAGGACTTGGGTGGTGATTCATCCCTCTCTCCTAAATGAGAGAACCAGATTCCAGCGGGATGCGGAGGACAAAGAGGGGGCAAGGTGGTAGCAGTAGTAGCAGAAGATGACTGATTGCTGAGGAATGCACCAGTTTTTTAGTTCTGAAGTTTTCAGACAAAGATTTTCTGTTCTTGCTGAAAAGGTTCTTAATGAAGAGGCAGAGTTGAGGAAACAAGTTAGAAAGTTGCTACTGAGAGTGTTAGAGGATGATGATGGTAGAAGTGGAAATTAGGGGGAATTGGGGGCTAGGAAGATCAGGTCCTCAAGAGACCATTACTTTATGACTCCCTTGTTTGAGATTTTTCATGTTGGCTGTTTGTGTTCTGATTTTATTTTTTTTTAAGAGATTGCTTTTGAGGCAGATGACCTCATAAGTAAATTTGTTTAATTCTTTTCAACTCGCAGAAGCTGCTGTGCCCAATAAAATCACATAGGGCAGTGTGATTTTAGCTGAGATGATAGTGTGGATATACCTCAGCTTCATTTGGAATGGCTGTAGCCATCAAATTCTTTGTAAGACTCCTATGGACATTTTTAATGCACTGCATTACTACCTGTCTTCTAGAAACTATTACTGAAAAAAGCACGGGTTTTATTTTGTTCTGTTTTTTTGTTTGTTGTACAGAGAAGTAACTTTCTATCTGAATTTTCACTTTTGAAGGATGTTACATACTTCAGACACCTGGTCTTTAGAGCTAAAATAGTGCAGGATTACCTGCTTTTTTTAATGCTCAAAATACAGATGCACATAAAGCTGCTAGAATAAGTTGCTCTTAATATTCAAGTCTGCATTATGCACTCCACTGATTCCAAAGTGCTTATTAGTTTTGTAAAGATGCTAAAAACTAAATGTTGTTCATCTGTGCAAAAGTTCTGATCACTTGCAATTCTATTCCCAGTCAAAAGTAGAATTAGTTCAAATAAATACAAACTTAACATGCTTCTTAAAAAATGAGTTGGTAGGCCCAGAAGTATGCGTGTCTTTCAATGTGCTGACTGGTTTTGAACTTGCCCTGAGCCAATTACTTGTTTCTATGTGATAGTGCAGCTGAGTTGGCAAACTTCTGCGTTTTGTTCTCTTTCTGCAGGAATGAGACGTGCAAGTAGCATTTCTAAAGTGTGCTTCTTACCTCTGAATATGCAAATGTGTGAGTGCTGGAGTTTCTTTTTGCATGCACAGTTGCCATGAACATGCTTATAAGCATTTCATGCCAGCCTGTTTAAGCTGAAGACCCAACTGAAGGTTTTGACTTTGATATCAGAAATTCTTTAAATGATTCCATATTTAGTAGGCAAATTAAGTAGTGCTTAAGCAGAATTGGGCGAATCCACACAGCATCAATTCCCTGAGCAGTTCAGGATTAATTTTCATGTACTGTTTACTGTATGCAATAATGAGGATGTCTTTTTTCCATACACATGCCTTTGCTCAGTGTAAACTGTTTGGATAGCCACATCATTCCAGTGTTAATGGATTTTCCCAACTAATCCATAATTCCTTCGAATTTCACGTGGCCTTAAGATTCTTTCAGGTCAGTGTAGCTCCCATGTTGGTGGTGAATCTTAGATTGACTGCTGTTGTTTTTTTCAGGTGCTCTGTCTGCAGCCCACCTTCCTTTCTTCACAGAGCTTTTAAAGCTTCTTGTTTGACCCTGTTTTGCCATTTATGATTAGGTGAAATAAAGTGGAGGCAGTCCTCGTGTCAGTACTTGGATGAGACTGAGCAAACAGAACAGAAAGCACGGTGTGACTTAATGGATCTGTGACCCTTCAGGGGATACTGGAAAATGAATGCCTCGTCTTTTACCTTTTCAGAATTTTGTTATTTTCTGCAGAGGTCTCCCAGCAGAAAGGCATGAGAGATTACTTAGCTCATACTTGCAGAATTGGTTCATTTATCACAAATGAATAATTGTATGTGTCACCCTACAGAACAAATGTCGAAGTAAATCGCATGCTAAGGCTCTGGAAAAATAATTTTGACAACAAATGAAAGTGTAAGAGACTTAATGAAACATCTCAGCACAGCATGTATTTGGAGGAAGGGACTTGTGACATATCCAGTGTTTTTATAGTGTAGTTTCTCTTTTGCCTTGGAATTCAGGTTTTTTGGGTTTTTTTGGTTTTTTTGGGTTTTTTTTGTTCTGTCATCTGAGCACAACTGTGAGCCTTTTTTAACATTCATCTTTTTTTGGCTGATAACCAGAGGTAGCAGCTATAGGGTGAAGTTGTTCACTCTTGCTGTGCAAAGGAAGCCACTTTCTAATTGTGAAAAAAAGAAACTGATCATTAAGAATTTTGTAGCTATTGTGATTATATTTTGTGATTGTAATTTTACGATGGGACATGTTTCAGACGTACTGAAATGTTAATATCTGGCTTCTGTTAGAAGGAATGTTCTCATTCTGATAATCACATGGAAAGCTATATTGTTTGTTTAGGTAAGCTGGTGCTGATGTTGGTCTTGAAACCAAACAAAATGCACAACAATTTCAGGCCTGGGTACTGCTTTGTGACTTTGTTTCTGCTGGGCCTGCAGGAAGATGTTTTAATAGGAGACTACAATGGTTAATACTGTCCTAGAAGCTCATAAATCCAAGTATTTCTCATACAGACATTTCAGAGCAGAGCCATATGACTTTCTGCCTCCAGATGGTTAAGGTGCAGTAAGGTGCATTTCAGAACAGGTACCTTTCACTGAGAGAACTCCCATAGCCAGGCAGCCTTTCCACAGCCATCATCGTCCTAAAGAGGCTTCTGTACAGATTTCTGTGATCTTGCAGTAGAGCTAATGGAAAAGAGAAGTCAGCACTGTGCATAATGAGTTTTGCATTTTTGGTGTCTGTACAATGTCTGATTGGTTTACCCTCTACTGACTCTTGGAAGGAAGCAAACAATGAAAGTATTTAAATTGTGGGAAGTTGTACAATGCAGAATGAATTGATGCTAGAGGGGAAAAAAACATTCTGTTGCTCTGGAGTATTATAAAATGGAATGTTAAATGTTCTTAGAAGGAACAAAGGTAGTTTGAGAAGTTCTAATGTGGACTTCAGAGTTGTCGTACTTTTATTATGGTTCTGCTGTGATGCTCCATTCACTTCTTGTCTATCCAATAAATGAAACAATTCTTGAAATTTTCTCAACAGCTTAATGAAGAATTCATCCATTTCAGAAATGAATCAAATTAACTTTCAATTCTGCATTTTAGTCACAGACTAAAATATTTTAAAATGGGCCTATTGCTTTACTTTACAAAGGCATACTTGTCTTTTGCTATGCTCACAGCCTGACGTTAGGAATGTATCTGGTTTCTTTTCTGGCTTGTAAAGTAGCTCAGAACATGCAGAAGAGCTGTGTAGTCTTTCATAGGAGCTTCTTCAACTTATTGTAGCACAGGAGAAGAACTTCATATATTCTAGAAGTCTTTCACATAATGGAAAAAAAAAAAAAACACCACAAAACTAGAACACTCATGGAAAACATCCTGCCTCTCTTTCCTTCTACTCAACACAGGAGACCAGGATTCAGACCCTCCTTGCTCTCATCAGTATCTGAACAGAGTTTTAGATAAGTAGATTATAGCCCTGCATGGAGCAGAGAGTTTGCTGACTACTAGTAATAACTAATGGAGGCAGTCAGGTTCCCATCCTTCTCATCTAACCTGAACACTCAGGTATTTCAGACTGCATGAATCACTGTGCTGTCTGACAGTACTTCAGGCAACGATGTCACCTTTGAAATGGCCCAAATGATAGGTAGTGCTTGGGCTCAAAACTGGCTTTTTCACGTAAGTAACAAGAGTCTGGATAAATACAATTTAATCCATCTGCTGGAGGTGTGTAGCAGTCAGTATTGACTAAAGAGTCCTGTGAAGTGAAAAAGAAAGATTCTCATTAAACCATTAGCAGTGGGGAAGGTTTTGAGAGCAGTTTGCCATTGCCTGAAGGTAAGGAGCACATGGATACAACTGCTGTAATTAGCGTTCACGTGTAGGCAGTATTACTGCTGTATTTAAAAAAAAATAAAAAAAATTCAGCCCTAACCTTTCTGGTATACTCAGTACAGTTGTTTTGAAGGCAACTATCAGACTGGTTTTGCTATAGTTTTGTTGCAGCTGTTTTTTATGTTGTTTCCTGTGATTCTTTCAGGTATCAGAACGCTTAAGTCAACCAGGAGTTGCCATAGGCCTGGCCTGGACTCCGCTGGGAGGCGAGATCATGTTTGTGGAAGCCAGCCGAATGGATGGGGAAGGGCAGCTCACTTTGACTGGTCAGCTGGGAGATGTCATGAAGGAGTCAGCACATCTTGCAATCAGCTGGTTGCGCAGCAATGCAAAGAGATACCAGCTCACTAATGGTAGGTTGGGGAAAATGACAAAGACAGCATGAATGTATTGCATCACAGGTATTGACCTCTCACTGCATCGATGCACATTTAGGAAGCATTAATATTGCATAGAAATTAAATGTCCTATTGCTTGGTGTGTTCCAGTAATTATATAAAAGGAAGCATTGCTAAATAACAGTGGAAGCTACCCTAGTTGTTACAGAAGTACTTTGTACTGCCTTCACAGAGAAAGGGTTTTCCAGCAATCAGTGCCATACAGAAGTTGAAATCAGCCCTAGAGGTCCCTGTTGGCTCTCCTGATTTCTGCTCAGTTGTGGTTTTAATAGCCTTAGGAGCAGGTGCAGCCTAGGCAGAGAGCGAATTGTCATTGCAGATTCTCCCAGCCAGGTCAATCCTTTCCTGCACCAGTATGGATGGCTGTGGACTCTGTGCCAGTATCCTTCTGGGGGTTGTGATGAGCACTGCCTTTTATTCATTTTTACGTGCAGCCTTTCCAGCAGTAGTTTTGTAACGTGGATACAGGTACTCAGGGCTGTAGTTTTCCTCTAAATCTAGGCTAAGGTTTCTGTCAGAAGTAGTTTTATGTTGTCTGCTTTTATATTTAAAGAATATTGAACTGAAGTGAAATAGGACTTCATCCAAATAACTTGTTTCAACCTCCAAAGAGTGCTGTGTAGTTTGATTATCAGCTGATTAGCCAAATAATAGCTAAATAATTTTCTGACATCTGTCAGCCATCTGTCCTTATTTTCAGAAGCTTAAATAGCTTTAAAAAAAACTAAATAGAATGGGTGTGTGAAATGCTGCTGGTGTAAACTTGAGAGGTAAACATAACATACAGTTAGGTCTTGTAGGTAAAGTAAGGTGAAAAGATGTAATGAGAAATCTACGTTATTATATTGATTAATACTGCTTTTTTTAAGAGTGATACTTCTGTGGTATTTTTACTGAAATCTGACTTTATAATTTAGGATCTAAAACTAAAAATTGTATGTAGGAATTCCTTGGTCTTTTACAGTAATCTCTACTCTGAATTTCAAAACACATGCAAACGCTGAGCTGATAAGTTACCTTGTTATGATTTGTATTCTGATGTAGGAAAGCTTGTGGGATTTCCTCCTCCCTGTACCAAACCTAAGCAATACAGTGGTTTTACAACACACTTGGAGAAAAGAAATAAAAAATAATAATGCTAAGACTTGTAGTTCTCCAGTGGCCTTTGAGAAGAAAGACTGGGAACAAAATGGGTTTCGATTTTTCACATTCAAACCATTCTTTTTTTTCTTTAAGCTTCTGGAAGTTTTGATCTCCTTGACAACACTGACATCCATCTGCACTTCCCAGCTGGAGCTGTCACAAAAGACGGACCATCTGCTGGTGTTACCATAGTAACCTGCCTTGCTTCCCTCTTCAGTGGGCGGCTGGTGTGCTCAGATGTAGCCATGACAGGAGAAATTACACTAAGAGGCCTTGTTCTTCCAGTAAGTATTGTTTGGAAAAGAGCTGCGTTGCATTAATTCTCCATATCCTAGGTATAAAGTCTGTTTTTAGCCGTTCTAAAAAGCACAGTCTTACTGGATCATCCCTTAGCAGCAGTCTGGTCCCTTCTGGTGCAGCTGTGAGAGGCTGGTGGAAGGCAGCCTAGGTTAGTGCTGTACACTTGTGTGCCTGCTTTGCATTCAGTGTTACAAATGGCCTCGATGCAGTTTTCAGGAAGCACGCATTATAGATATGTCTAGTTAGAAAAGAACCTTAGAAATCCTAAAATTCAGGGTTGTTCCAAGATACATATGTTGCTGTTTCTAAATATGCTTCCTCAATACTATTATTACAAGATTATCTTCAGTTGCACTGAAAAGCTGTTTCTTGGAGTTCTTTTCACAGTATTTTCATATGAATTATTATTGAAATTTTCTCTATTCACGTAGATATTTGGACACTTCCTGAATGTTGCTCCTTATATAGAATTCAGCAGAATTATTTTCCTATAAGCCTTCCTCAAAGCATGAGGGCAGAAGGGAAATTTTCAAGGACATACAGTGTTAGTTTTACATATCACTTGGAGACTGGTATAATTAATTAAAGGAGGTAAGAGTTTTCATCTCATACCATATGCTGGACAAAGGAAGGATGAGGTTAGAAACAGTATTTTGTTTCATGCAGTAGAGAGCAAAGCATAGATAACATCATTAAAGTACGTTTCAGAGTTCTTAGGAGAGGATCACTGACACAGCATTCTGGCAGCAGTTAGATTGACAAGATTGCTGCTGTTCAGGGCTCTGGTGATAATTAAGCAACTGCATTAACTCTGCTACAGTGCTCGTTTGCTTAGCATTTCAAATAAATTGTTTTTATCACACCAGTGACTATATTTTGCCTGTCGTTTGAGGTACGTGAGGGAATATCTGTACTTAATTTTTTTTTTAAAAGCCTTATTGTCTAAGGATTGTTTAGAATCATTAGTAATTTTAATATTACTTCATCTGCTACATCTACTGCCTGAAAGAGAGCAATGTGGTAAGAAATAAGTAGCATTGCCCTGCCTAAACTGATTGCCGTGAGTATTTCTGGTTCTCGATTACCTTCTTTTATAGAAGCCTGCTTTGTTACAGTACAAGGCGTTCCTTTCTTCTAAAGCAACACAAAGCTGTTTCTTCTGTAAGATGGTCTTAAAATAGGATTTGACAAAAGTGCAAGAGGAAGAAGCTAAAGCTGTGACTGAAAGAGAAGCTAATTTTAAAACTGTGTGTCATCACAAACATAGATACAGGTAGCTTGCTGAAGTGATGCCTACTTTTCTAGAACAAAAACATCCTTGTAATTTTGGGGCATTTTCTTTTGTTCAAATGAATTTTGTGTAGGATTGAAAGACTTTCCTCCCTAAACCTAATGGTTTGAAATTCTTCTGCTGTAAGAAAAAATTGTTACAGGCAACTTTCTTTAGAAAAAGTACATCCATTCCTGGATTTGTTCATCTAGGGGTCTTTTTCTTCTGCTGTTATCTGTAACGAAGCATGCTGTAGCATATTATGTTTGGAACTAGGTTCCTTCCAACCAAACCATCCCTTGGTAAGCATATAGCAAGCTAACAATACTGTTGCATTCTTAATTACTTTACTAAATTACTGGGGGAGGGAGATGCTCATAAAAATTTAACTCCCGGTGTGATTTCCAGATTTGGTACAATTATTACTTTATGAGATCAGTGTCATAGTTTTTTCTTACAAATACATTTCTTTTCCTTATTAGGTTGGAGGAATTAAAGACAAAGTGCTGGCAGCGCACCGAGCTGGACTGAAGAGAATTATCATTCCTCAAAGAAACGAAAAAGATCTTGAAGAAATTGCACTGAATGTACGGCAAGATCTGACTTTTGTTATGGCAAGCTGTCTGGATGAAGTTCTTAATGCAGCTTTTGATGGAGGATTTTCAGTTAAGCCCAGAGTTGAGCGTTTGAATAGTAAACTTTAAGTTGACAGGCTGAGATTACTTTTATATCAAATTTTAATAGAGAATAGTAACTATCAACTAGATATGTATATCTAATATAAATATGAGCTAAGACTGCTAGTTTAAAACTGAGCGTAAATGCTATCAAAATAAAAATAGTGCTTTAGCAGTTAACAACCCAAACCCATATTTGCTGGGTATGCTGCCTTTTACTACTACCAGCAGAGTCTTGAAAAAAATACTTTTTTCCTGATAGTGAGATTCAAGCATGAGTAACCTAATGCTATTGAGAAACAATTCCTTACCTTATCTGGTATGTAGTTATATCAGTGTCAACAGCTGATGACATCTGCAAAGACTTCAGGCCCACAGCCAGAGAATGGTACGCAATTTGTGTATTCAGAGAACACAAACTGCAGCAAACACAGCACAGAACAGCAAGAGGGGTAATTAATAATGGGGACGTTAATCAAAAGCAAACTGATTTGGTGCACAGGTGTTTTCTTTTTAGTAAGTAACATTGAGGCAATCTGTTAAGGAGGGGTGGCATCAGAAAAATCAAGATTTTGGAATTAGTAAGGAAACGCATAGAAGATTTAAGGATAACAGAAGCAATAGTTCTAGTTTGTAGCAGTGTTGATGTAGGCATCATTTTTTCAAACCTTAATTAATTACAGGAATACACTCATTTTTGCCTAGGAAGGGTAATAATGCATTAAAGTTCATGTGTGCAAAGTTGTACTTACAGCCCTGGAAGTAGGTGGCACATACTCTGAAGACTCATAGAAAAGACTGAGCCTGGTAACACGTGGGAGGGGCAAAGTACTCCTCCTTAATTCTTACGTGATGCAAAAGTAGGAACCCTGCTGATTCTAGGATACTTACGTTTAGTGTTTAGACTCTAAATGCTACATCCATTTAAACAATACCAATAAAACTACTGGATAATTAAATTTTATTAGGTAGTGCACATTAATAATGTTAAGATTTGAGAAAGTGTTTATATCCCCTCTGAGTCAGTAGCTTTCTCTCTTCAGTGTTTAACACAGGAATTTAACTTTATGGAATCTGCAGTTCTGAGTTTTTCATTGTTTCGTATGAGGGTAAGCCACAAGAGAAAACCTAGTCTCTAGTATTCTGTTCTTGTCTCTTGCTTCTGTTCTTGTTAATTCTGAAACGACCGAAGTATCCTTATGAAAATGCAAATTGTATCAGTGACAGAAGAATCCTTTGTTTGGCTTTAATTTCAATTGGTAAAAAGAAAGCTGATTTACATGGAATATAACGGTAATTATATTAATAAATTCAATGGGTATTTTTTCACTAGGTTATAAAAACTTTCACAGAAGACTTAATCTAATAAAATGATTTTTTAAAAAAGCAACACTTTTTGCTTTACTATTTTAAGAATTACACACTTCAGTTATTCAATACCTAAGTTCCACAGTTAAGAGACAACAGTCCCTATTTTTCTGCCTTAAAAATTACTTGAGTGTAATAAGTGTGAAATATCTGGACAATCAGTAGAACAGCAGAAAGGAACGATAACTAATATGCTGCTTTGCCTCCAATGAGGACTAGTAAGGGGAAAATAATATTTTCTGTACTCAACTTAATGCAGATCAAATGAGTCCTGTGCTACGTAGCACTAGTAAGAGAACAGACATGTATGGAAAGCAAATACTGTTGTTCTTTTCTTTTTAATATTAAGCTTCTACAGCAATTTCAGAAGAACAAGGAGTTGCTCTGAAGAAAAGATAAGCAATAAGTTTCTGCCACATTGCTCCAACTCATGTCTTGTCCACATGGACTTTATCTGAAAGGTGAGAGCTTTAATGCCATTCTAGAATATCTTTTGTCTGAGTAGCTTTTCAATTTCCCACTTCAGAGCTGATTTGTGTTAAAGATTTTTTTTTTAATTCAAATAGAAGTATTATCCATTATAACAGATATTATAGTTTAAATGTTTTTGGCTTTTGCTGAGCGCTCTTGAGCACAGCCATCTGTGCAGCAGCAAGCCAAAATAATAAAGATCTTTAAAAGTAAAGTAATGTCAGTACACTAGAGGTTATCCTGCATTGCAACTGACAGTTAAACAGACGTGGTGATAAAGATGAGGGTGTCTTGAGACTATATTGTAAAATAACTAACTTTATCCAGAGCTAAAAAGCAGCACTGGTAGCTCCTTTCCTCTGTCCACAGTCCACACTGTAAACTGCTACAGATAAAACTGTCTCACTAATGCAATTCATGCTTTTAATCACAGTAGCTTTGAAAACATACTAGATAATACAATGGCATAGGTAGCAATACAAAACAGTTAAGTCTGCTTAATCCATTTCAGTTTTAAAGCAATACTGCAAATGCGAACTAATGAGAAATACCAAATATTAACATCCACATTTGTCAGACATTTTACTCTTAAGGCTTTCTTTTTTTCCCCCCCAAAGGCAATGAAAAACAACAGAGGTAGTACTAGGGAAGAATGCAAGATCTACTGCATTTCATTTAATCAAGACAAATGTGAGTACTATTTCTCCATACAGAAAGTACTTTCTAAAATAAACAGCTAATGCTAAAACACTGCCAGGCTTTAATACACCATTTATTTTAGATTAGGTAGTAAACTGTACAGATTGTTACGATGTTTTCATTTTTCATATATGGAGCATGGTTTTATTTACCAGATCCTCAAACTACTAAGAGGAGAGATCCACTGACTTACGCTTCCACTACTTTCAAAGATCTAGGCCCAAGTGTAATTTGTTTAATCATTCCATCAGATGATGGACATCAAATTTTTATACAGGTTTTTTGTGTTTTAAACCAAATGGAACACTAGTTTAAAGGAAGTCAGTACACATTTATGCTACAGCATTTGTCACTTGTAAAGCATGACTAAAAAAGTCTGTTACAAGCACAATTTTTAGTCCCCTTCAGAAGTATATTCTTGATTTCCAGCTTAATAAAAGTCACCATAGAACAGTGCAAGAAGGCTCAAAGTTCTTTTGGGCAACACAACACGAGTACAAGCAGCAGCAATCTCGCTAACTCATGCACTTACACAGCCCTGCGATGCTCAAGTTGCAAGTACCAGACTGCTCAGGGTGACCCGAGCAGGCTCTTAGCTAGATTTCCTTTCAAAACCTGAGCTCAAAAGCAGATAACATGAGCACATGACCTTCACTCCAAACCAGCCAATGGGGGGAAGTGGGTCTATGCCTATAAAAATAATTTGCATATTTAGCCAAGTTTCTGTCAGTAGACCAAAAGACAAAATTCAGGTAAATGTAGGCACACTTAATCAGGTGAGTACTGAATTCTGAAGACTGCACTCAATTTGTTGTGTACTTGTAAGGAAATGCTAGACTGAAGGATTAGCTCCTTCTGAAACATTTATGTATTGCCACAGGATACCCATACATCTCATACATTAAATCTGTGCACAATTCCAACAGCCTGAACACCTACTTCTAATAAGTAAAACTTTCCTTCGTTATGTGACACCGACTGCTTCTGTATTATTTTATGAATCCAACTTCCAACTTGGTAGGCTTTATGTTCCTTACCTGTAGAATTACTTACCTCATCATGCATCAAAATAATATGAACAAGAGTTGTCTTAATAGATCTATTTCTGATAAGAAAGTTAAAGACAGTGCACAGTAAATAAACCGTATTTTAATGTGTTACAAAAGGAATTAATAGTCAGGCTACCTCTCCCAACAGATGTCCAGTACTACTAGGTTTGACAAAGACTTCCTTTAAATAGCTTGAGATGAAACAGCTTTTCACGTTATCCTTTTTTCTTTCTTTGCATCTGTTTTGTAACACAAACACCATATACATTCATGGTTAATTTTTTTCACATAGAGGCAGTCTGCACAAAGCCCATATCTTACAAAAGCTGTTACGGCTGGTGAATCATATCTGTAAGAGATTACTTGCATTTGACTGTGTATCATATCGCCAAAATAATATACAAAAATCAGTTCAAGAAAATTACTTCAGTAACAACCGAGAGACAGGACAAGAAAGTGAGCAAGAGTAGTAGTGTGTCAAACTTTGAGCTAAAGCACAAAGCAAAAAAATTGTTTTTAAATTTGTCAGGTATTCTCTTAATGAGAAATGTAAAAAGACTGAAAACATCTCATTCTGTCTGCCCTTTCTTTGTTTTTTTTGGTGTTTTTTGTTTGTTGTTAAACAAATGGCCTGTTGTATAGTTACAAACACTGTGAAAGACAACACCTTCTTTGTACCAACAAACCAACAAACAGAAGGATGCAAAGGATGCAAGAGAGTTTCTAAGCATCTCTAAATTTGAAACATAGTTTTTTTTAAATGTGGAAAAATCCTTGTAATTCATTTTTGTTAGATCATAACTCAAAGTACAACAACATCTAGAGCTGTTTTTAAAGGAGCTTTCTTTCCTGATGCATCTTTGAACATAATTACTCCTTTCAAGTTCAGTACATTCACAAAATAGCTCAATTAAGAACAGTATCACCAATTAATTGACTACTGGAAAGAGACAAAATTTACCAAACATACAGAAATATTAATTTTACCATAGCAATTATGCATATCAAAAGATGACACCTGTATTTAATTCTTTAAAGATACAAAAAAAAAAAAAAAAAAAAAAAGAGAAAAACCTGAATTACAGAAAAGAAAGTCATATTTATTTAATGAAAAACTAGAAGTTAATAAAAATTAGCAAATACACAAAAAATATACACAAACAGCAGCAATACTATGTAGTGACTTACAAAGGAGGGGGGGAGGAGGGGCACGGGAAGCAGCGGCCAAAGCCCAAACCGCTCAACATGGCTTGTCAGTCAAAGGGGGAGGAAAAGAACACAAACAAAAACACGAAACAGTATCCTTTTCAACAGTACAATCAATCTACAAACAAGTTTTTAGAATTATTTTACAACATTTCCTGTAGAATCAATTCTTAATACAAAAGATGCCCATTTTGGGTGTATATATATTTTCAGTGGTTTACTGTTGACTTATTTTAAATATATTAGTGTTACTACATGCAACTGCTTCCTGTAATTTAACAGCCTTTCCTTTTATTTACCTTCATATATGTCTATCCTCCATCTACCAAATAATTTGTCTGACAGTCAACGATGGTTACCCTAGTTTCTGCTAAATTAAATGCAATGGTTTTAAACACTGGCCTGAAGAGGTTTGATTGCCATTTCAACACATCGATATAGTTACGTTGATGCCTAAATTGCCATTTTCTGCAAAGAGCTGTGCAATGCTGGTGTCAAAGACTAGACAGTCACTATTCATAATGGCTGTTGCAATTCCCTCATGGATAGATCGAGGAGTTGCTTCCCAAGTCAGTCGCCGCCTATGACCGTTTAACTCAAGTCGATAAGCAAAGTTTTCTGCTTGCTTGCGCGTTCCTATCAGCTGTACAATCGCAAAGAACTGCTGGTGACCATCATATTTTTCCTGTTTCTCCAATACTAACATGAAATGAAAGCCAAAACAAGACTGCATCATAACCCAGTCAACAGCACCAGGAAGATTAATGTCTGTAGCAAGAAACACTATATCTTCTCCCTGAAGTGTTGTAATTGACTTATGTTGATGCATCAGATGTGGCATTACAGCATCCAGAGAACCTTGCCATTTACATGAAGCACCAGGACATGGACAGGAATAAGGCCTAAACTCACATAGCTCCTCATGGTCTGCTTTTTCTGTGTGTGGCAGAGTTATCTCACATCCAGAAGAGGCATATTTACACGGGAATAGTACAGAATTGGCAACTTTCTCCATAGCCAGGTTACGAATGGAGCCCAGTGGGCCTCGGCAAGTTGGACAGCACGTAAGTTTGGGGCGACAGTTGCTACAAACAAGGTGGCCACTCTGACACTGAAGAATTGGTGGCAGCACATAGTCAAAACAGACAGGACACTCAAAGAGACTAGCCAAGTCATTATTGGAAGCTGTAGTGCCAGTCAGCGCAGGCACTCTCTGTGATGGCGTACACTTTGAAGTACCTGTAGGTAGTGCTGTAGCAGTCTGACGGCTCATTTCTATAAGAGAAGAGAAAAAAGAATGAGGATACTGCAGGGATTATATCTAAACACATTTTATTTTATTCTGCTTACCGTATTTCTTGATTATGAAAACAAATCAAAATTAATCAGACAAAAAGAAGTGAAACTCAAACATGCAATGCAGCTGTGCGTACTTTGCACGTAGATTTTCAGCTATGTTCCAGAGAATAGACACTGGTATGACACAGATCTAAAAAGAAAAGATGTTCTGCTAACTGTTCTGAACTGGAATTTACCTATCGGAAGCTGCAGGGTAAATGTGTAAAGAAGTACTAAGCGTAGCTGAAATCTTCAAAGATTTTTGTTGTTTTCTGGTTGATGCTGTTGTTTTTGTCTTTGTTTTTTGCTGTTGTTTCTTTTAATATTGCACTTACAAAACATTCCATCTGGTCAGGTGAGTGTAACAACTGAGCATACTACATAATACAAATCTAAAGCTGAATTTTAAGCTTTACATAGAAGAAACCAGCCATATGAAATGAAAAAAAAAAAAAAAAAGCTTGAATATCATAATCCTATTTACTGTATCAGGATAATTAAAAAACAACAGCCACCAGTTACAAGGAAGAACATAGCTAAGATTATCCTACCCTGGGAAAGAGCCATGTAATATTGACTCTTCACTTCTCTAGCTTTTGAAACATACCCATTGCTTTCACTTGCTGAACTAAACCATGTGTGAAGACATCAGGAAATAAACAGAAAACAGAAATTATTTTACTTAGCTTTCTAAGCAAGACAAGAAATGCAGAAGATGAAATTTGAGAATTAAGAATTAAGCACTGCTTATGAAGTTTTACATTCGGTAGTTTTCAGTTCTTTCCAATGTCTCTGAACCAAAGTGGCTGTCTGACTGCACAATGCTTTCAAGCATTCAACGAGCAAAGGTAAAAGGCCTGTATGTCTTTTAACACGTACAGATGCCTCACTTTGTCCTGGTCCCCCTGACTCCCCTAACCCTACTTGCACAAAAGGAACCACTAGTATTGCCAGGAAAAATAAAAACTTAATATTGAGCAGAAAAGCCTTACCTTCATAGGTTAAAGTAAAATGCTATTCAAAACTGGAATCCATTATACAGAAACATTCTTAACCACCTTAAGTGTTTCTGTGCATCAGCCCTGTATCTGTTGTGTATGAAACCGAAAATAAACTTCATCTTTAATCTCCTTTATATTTGACATGGGAATATTAAGCAATAGGCAAGCTTCCCATATTTAGAATTATTTCAACCACAAACAAGCTTACTCATACTTGGACTAGATACCTCAAAGCAGCATACTGTGCGTGCTTTAGCAAGGCATGCGCTATTCAGGGCACGTGATGAACAAACTATGAGATTCCAAGAAGCAAAACAACTTTTCCCTTGATGTTCACAAAACAGCCACAGTGGTCAACGTCACTCTTTTCAGCAAAAGCCCCTTTTCTCCAATCCAGAGCTCAAACACAGGTTTTTGGGAGCTGGCATTCAGTCCGAGTCTTCACTCTCATGTGCCCCATACCAGCATCATCTCATCCCTCCAAAGTCTTTTCTTCCACCTTGAGCTCCTTGCTTTCAAAATATCCAGATCTTATTTTTGGACATAAAACCACGCAGTAGTTTTCATTACTGGACCCTACATGGTACAGATCCAAAAGGAATGGTAGTTTTTTGGCCTTGTTTTCCTACTTCAAGCATTTCCTCTAGATGGAAAGTTTAAGTGATCTACGACAAATCAAATCTATGCTCTGGGGAAGCGATGCCCCACCAGTTTGTTGCAGAGAGTTCAGACAGACAGCCCCAGTGATAACTGAGCACTACTGCTAGTTTTCTCCAAAATCTGCAGATGGGAGACTCGTGGTGTCACACTGTGGTCCAGGAAAACAAACTGCACACACAGAGTAATTGCACAGTACCCCACTGCTTGGAACGAGCATAGAAATCACATACATATTCTTGTGTAAAATTCTGAAAACATCACCTTGCAGAAATTGTAAACACGTTTTGGAATAGTTTTTGTGTGCTTCATCTTACCTGCATCCACACCTCCTGATCCCCAGAACCCACAAACAACACGGAAAACCACTGTTCCCCAGGCAGTCTGACTGGCCGGGTGAGCTTTGCTCTGGCTGATAACACCTCCAGGAGCTGGTACCACAGTTAGGTAACCAACCTCCAAGCTTTGCAAAAGACCTCGCATACAGATGCACTTCCACATCAGCTTTCAGTGCTTCAGAAGCACTGAAGAAGATACTGCACAGCTCTGGTTTGGCACCACTCCTGCCTGTGCCTGGCGTTCAAACACAACTGAGCACTATCCCACAAAGCAGGGAGCCAAAATGCACAGGAATCTGTGAACTGAGCCACTGAAATGAACAAGCAAAGAAGAAGCTGGATAATGCAAGAAACTGCAGTTTACCAAGCCCAAAGCTGTCCAAAGCATAAGTTCCCATCATTTGTGAACATAAAAGATGAATAATGCCTCACAGCCGAAAAATAAAAAGTTAATTTTTCATAGATGTCTTAAAACCTACAAGGTAATGGCAAATCAAAGTGTTCATAGCATAATACAGTTAATCTGTATTTGCCTTTGTCAAACTTTTTCAACAAATTACCAACCAAAACCAAACACCTAACTGGAAATAAGAGTTTAATGTTATTTTTAGTTACAAAACATTTTCTACAGGTCAAAAAAACCCACAAAAGAACCCCAAACAATACAACCCTATGTGCAAAGCTTGCCATTAGCTTTGTTCCACACACTGGGAGCAAGCGCATAAGCAATACCAACAAACCACAGGATGCTGGTTGTCATCTGCAGAAAGTAATTCCTACAACCCCTATTTGAAACATCAAACAAATTTGCCTAAGTTTAACCAGCAGAGTGAAAGAAGAGACACACTTTAACACTCCCAACTCCAGCCTGAGGACAGCTCTGCTCTGGGTGAAACCAGCCCAGCCTGCTGATGGCCAGCAGTGCGGGAAGCACATGGTAGCGTCACCTCCTGAGAGCCATGGGGCTGCACCAATGACAGATCCGACAGATCACACGAAGCACATTTCAGCGGAGGCAGCAGGGGAACACACTGCCAAGAGCTGTTCTGCTCACAGACAAAGCAAGGCTGCAGTACCTGAGTCTTAAAAATGCTTTCCTACTACTTGAAATTCAGGTTCTGAAATTCAGGTAGACTGTGGAAGCTTTTACTGGATCCATAACACATGCAAGTTAGCACCACTGCCAAGGATTTGGTGCTCTTAACAGAAGACACTGACTAAATACACAGTATGTTTACGATTCATCACTTATGTCCCTACAGGTGAGAGTCAAGGAAGTTTCCCAGGGACCGAGACGAAGAAAAGCAGCAGGAGCAACCTGTGGACTACATGCCAAGAGCTCAGCAGTCAGTAAGCCATGCCCAATGCCCGGCGCTCCACCTCCTGCCATGCATGGCTGTCCCAGCAGCCGCCAGCCCTGTACGGAGCCGTGCTGCAGCATGCAACACCTGAACAGGCTGTGAAACCCCTGAGCTAAAGTCACTGCGAGAGCAGGAAGGTGCAGCAAACTGAACAGCCCAGCTGACGTGCAGACACATGGAAAACACCTTCAAGAAAAGTTCAGAAAGATAACATATCTCATGTGCCATGGAAGTAACACAGTACGTATGAATAAATTTGTGCCATCTCAGCTTCTCACCTCTCCAAGGCACTAGCTTCAGACACCATCCTGGAATCCAAACTTAACTTATTTCACTGAAATAGAGGGTACTTTTAACACCCTCAGGCTAACACCATCAACTTTTCCAACACTTTTACTTGCTCTTAATAGATTACACTTGGGACTAATGCCTTAAATGCCTTTTTGAGAAGGTAACAGAATTAGTGTCGGGGGAAAAAAAGAAACAAAACAAACCACCACCAAATATCTGTATAATTACCTTAGTGTTTGAAACAAGAAAAAAAATCTGTGTAGTGCCTAAGAATGATGAAAGGACAGAAAAATGCCTTAGCAAAGGCTTCTATACGTGAGGCAGTTATTTCAATCACATTTTAGAACTAAGTGAATTCAGAGATTTGCATTCAAGAATCAGTAACTCTTAACACCTAACAGTTATGACCAAGGTAACACAAAATCTTTTTTCAGCTGCACAATCATATTTGAGAATGATACCTATATAAAGAAAAGCCCAGTTGTGGAGCACTGAGAATTAGATCCCTTCGTTACATAGCACTCAAATTTGTGGAGAACACTGACAGCTGGCTACTTCAAGATGCTGTAGAGTCCAAAGAATGCCAAAACCCCCAAACTAAGTCAATTGTTGAAAATACCAATTGCTTTGCAGGTCTAAATGATAACTAACAGTAAATACAGTTAGCCACTGCCATCAGAAATGCATGCAATTCAATATTCATAACATTTATAACATAAAATAAACTGAAAGATTTGTGTCACCAGTACTTCATTGGCAGCAGAAGAAAGGTTTAGTGAATGTCTATGAATTATATAATCATGGGACTGTTCATCCTCTGCGATTATCTGCAGTGAACCACCAGACCCCAACACTCAACACGTGTCTGATACTACCATGTATGTTCCCTTGTACAAATGCTATCACCAGCTGAGTCATTACTAGCGGGCAATCCAGATCTTTTCCAAACTCAGCATCTGTAGCAGATGCAAACAGCACTGTAAACACAAGCACTATGTTATTACGCCTGTTTAACTGCAGTGACATGTATCTCATCCAGTACAAAAACCTGAGTTGTGGCTAGTGTTATTTCATTTCAACCACTGTCATTAGCTCTTTCTCCTATCTCTGCCACGATGTTAAACACCCACCCACATGCTGCCTGTTCCTAGCTGCCAAAGGTTTTCTTCCCAATAATTTTATGATGTAAAATTAGGAAGAGTAACCTAGACAAGGTATACAACAACCACATAAAACATAGCTTCTTTTTTTTTTAAGAAACAAAGAACTTCATCAATTTCAGGTGAATAACCCATACTGTACCAATCCAGAACTTTGCAATTCAGTGTATAAATTCCAGAGAATCAAGATGAAAGTTAGCACTGAGTATCAGAAACTATATTGCTAGGAGACTAGTCCTGCAGAGAGATGAACTCTGAAACAAAGTACATAGGAGAAAAAATTCTAACCAATAAAACCCCAGATTTCATTCTAGAATGACAACCAGAAATGTCTGATCAAAAGCTGAAATCCTGTGACTGGCCCACTCAGTCTGCACTATATAATTAGAGAACATTCCATGTCTCACTCATATTTATGCTTAGAAGTAAATAAAAAAAAGATTGATTTTACACTCAGGCCATCAACAAAGTGTTATATAGCACTATATGACATCTCTCCCTTTCTTTGAGCTTGAAAGGAGAAGCAGCAGAACAGAAATAAAAGAGAAACTATAAATGAAATTTCTGAAAATTCAAGCTGTACTAAAATCAACGCCACCACTAGAAAAAGAAAATGCACAGATACACTATGTAAACTGGTATAAGCAAAATCACTGATATTTGGTTGTCTCTTGTGATGAAAGACAAGCTAGTAAAACAATCTTTTCCATTACATATAGTTATAAATAGATAGAAAAAGAGCCATTCTTTAAATACAAATCAAAACCAAATGCTGGCATTAAGAGGTTGTGGATCATTTCCAAACAGGAGTTTAGTGTATTTTTTCCTTTTCAAAACCAAGTAAATAACTCAGCTTGCTGACGCTGCCGGACCCCACCCACCACAGACAAGTCAAGATGGTGATACAGAATCGCTGTTCAGAGATGCACATTCTTGCACTGTACCTTTAGCGGTGCTCTGTGACCAAGGCCTCCTCTTTTCTCTGTTCACCAGCTCTGTCTTCAGTGTAACTATCAGCAGTCAGTCAGTACTCAGAGCATTCCCTGACAGAGGACGCCTGAACCTCCAGCATGCCCGCACCTGGAACCTACAGCATAACAAAGTGGTTTGAATTCAGAACAACAGCCGTCCCGTACGGCAGCCTCCTCTGGCTACCAAACGAGTGCACCTTCCTGCAGTCTGCCACAGTTTGAGCGCAGCAAGGCTAACTGAGGTAAAGCAGAAGCACGGATTTCAAAATAAAGATCGTGGCAGAAACCGAAGAATCTGACAAAATAAAGACATGGTTCCTGTGAAAACACACAGAACTCCACATGAACAATTAGCAACAGGGAAAACAGTTTTAATTCACTTATTTATGTTTTAGCAGTATCTCATTTCCTTTCACCAGGACTACAGCAAACTAAACTGCACTACATCAGGATCATCCTGAAACAGTAATTCTGTCTATAAAGAACAGGTAAACAGACACCTTTTCAAAAGGTCCAGGCTTAGCAGGTTGCATTAAAAAGTAAGCAAGGCATACAAAGTGACCAGCTACTACGTAGATCAGTAAGTTGCAGGGGAAAACAAAGTTATTTTCCATGCCGTACCATCAGAAGAATCTGATGCAGAAAGCATTGAATTCTGCTCTATGAAACATCATATCCATAGATGGATTCTAGACACAAGTTTAGGAAAAACACACAAGCACAGAACAACTCAGTGTTAACAGGAAATCCTACCAAGTGCGACAAATTGAGGGCTGCCTTTCTTTCCTCAGAGTGATTTTGCAAAAACTATATTCTTCACTGTATACTGTAATTGCCATGCAATATTGCATCACCACTGCTGTGTCTGTGGCAGACACAGGGAAGAGGGTGTGGCATAGAAGTGCCTACCTTAACTCAGTAAAGCTAAACTGAAAGAAATATCTATGCTTTGTTGTGCTTTCACATACAAAATCTTCCTGCAGTAACTATTCCAATTCCAGATCTATTTTGTACTCAGAAACTTTCCTGCATAACTAAATAGTACTAGGGAACAGACCATCAAAACAACCTGACCTGATTCCAGAAAGACGTGGCTCACAGGAGACCAATCACAACACAGAGCTGCTTTGTAGAAGGAAGAGTCAGAAAAGGATTAGGTATATAGACTACTTTAATACAGACCTCTCCATTTTGTGCATCGCTTAGGTTCATGCGTACTTCTGTCTTAAATATTAATTGGTTCTTGTGTTCTTTAATCCGTTCTGTATTTCTGTACACAGGGCTGAACAATGGAACCCAGTGGAGATGTGAAGAATGGCTCACCTGCCTGTGGAGGTGACCGCGTACAGGAGGGCACAGAGACCTTTCTGCCACGAGGTACGGCACACACAGATGTACCACCATGTGTGGTTTCAAGTACAACCCCACAGCAGTAGCACTGAAAGCCTAACAGTGCAATTCACAGATCTGATTCCTCCCTATAAAATAGATATCCAGCTGTCCCTTTTCCAGTTCAGGTATTTAATCTTCTGATGTGAGCTGGAATGAAAACATTTAGAAGAGTAACAGAAAGACAATGTCCTCATTTTCTCTCTCACACCACTCACAAATGCGATAAAGTACACAGAATTTTAAATGTAAAGAAACAAGTCCATATTCTTAAAACGGGTATTCCTATATTTTTGAAACAAAATGTTCACACTATAGATGATTGCTTAAAGCTTTTCAGTACTTCGTTTCCTTAACGTCCCATTTTCTACATGCCCTGTGTTACTAGCATCCATTCTTTGAAGTGCATATCTCCACTAAACCCAGAACTGTTTAAGTGACTCATTTGTTCTCTGCTCATTAGTTCAGAATCAACTGCTCCTGTTGTATTGTAGCATAAGGATTCAACTTTCACCATTTAAAATCTTGTTTTTAATTGTTATTACAATGCTACCTGCATTCTTAAACTCGGTTATTGGTAACTTTACGTGGTCTTATTTCTGCACAGAGCACCGACTCTACATTCCTTATTTCTTCAGAACACACTTTCCAGGAAACACTAGTTTGAGAACATGGCTTTATCTCACAAACAAAAGCACTTTTCAGTCTTTCTTATCAACCTCAGGCACAGCACCCAGAAATGCTGTGCATTGCTGACTCCACAGACCACCACGTTCCACAAGAAGTTTCAGCATTCCTTGAGATGTGAAAAATAGAATTAGTGGTACAGGGTAGTCTGTGGCGTGGGATATTCGTGGCAGACCTGGGGTTACTTCCTGCTCCATCACAAGTGTCTGAGTCACCACAGGAAACTACTTCCCTGCGTTTAGAGCACTGTGTGTAGCTGCAAGCCTCAGACAAAAATGCAAAAAGCGATGAATTAGCATGAGAAGGATACTAAATTAACTCTGTAGACCCTCTTCAAATTTACTTCCAGTCAGCAGCAACAAAATGTCACGACATGCTAAATGACATTATGTTAAACTATTTCAAGATCTCAATCCTTAATCCAGCAATAGTCAGACTGCAATCACTGATTACTTTCCAAGGATGATCCAAGTCCTGCTCACATATGGATAACTGCCTTCTTCGAAGCCCAGCATGTTCTACATCAGAGACAAATTAGGGAGATGAGGCATTTGCAACATCCTTCTCACTGATTTTAAGTAATCTGAAGACCCTCTTCTTCCACCAACTCCACAATGACATTTTATGGAAAGCCAGTAATAGAAATCTCTCTTTGGAGGAATCCTTGGATTACCAAAAAACGTTCTCTCAGCATTCCCTCTGAAGATCCAAGGTGAATAACCCAGGTTTTGAAGCTAGTGATTCATATTCAGCAGAACAATAGCTCTCAGACCAGAGAACTGTATTTTCTCTTACCACTATTAATTTCTGTTCAGGTTTATCGAAAATATGAATGAAATGCGCAATTTCACTCACTTGTATCACCTGGGAAACGCTTCATGGCATAAAAAATTAAAATCCAGCCATAATCACTCTGAAGTTGGGCTGAGACTGTGCCAGAAAATAAAACACAGGCCATTACAAATGCTTGGGAAACGACAGGTGCAGGTACACCTTTCTGCCACTTCGTGCTCCCTCAGTACTTTCTAGATTCAAACATTACTACACCCTTTGCTGCAAAGTATTGTCCCCCCCCCTTCTGTCACATGGTTAGATCAAAACTTTACATTGCAATGCTGAATCCAGAACATCAAACCCTAACAATGACTCACTACCTGAAATTTAACTGTAAATGTCAGTATTTTCAAACCTTTTTCTTTTATTGGAGTGTTACAAAGAAAAAAAAAAAAAGGCTTTAGGTTGGATGATCAAGCACTCAAAATTAGAAAACAACGAAAGTTTGACACGCAACTCTATTTCCTCCTATGCACATTAAGGAACAGCTCTCATGAAATACTTATTTCCTCCCACTCACTCCTTTAGCAGAGCAGAATCTGTATGTACCTGGAAGAATTATATTTGCACAAAGAACAATACTTATTCTTTAAACTGATCAGCTGGTTTAAAATAAAGCTGTTTAGGACAGCAGATATTTTAATACACACAGAAATGCTCTTAAAATTACTGCTTTACAGGTGCCGTTTAAATGAACATCCATCTCAACTTCTGTTATGAAGTGCCTGCTTTTATTTGTAAACTATCTATTTTACATGACTGCACTTGACCTAACACAAAGCCAAGCTAAAATTTTACAGTACACCATCAACATCTGCCAGCCAAATCTTCCCTCGTCACACCTGTGCAACCAGTCTTCAATTACACCCTGGGCACACTTGCATAATCACAGATATCAGCCATGTGGGGACGAGGCATACTCAGACATCTCAGCTGTGTTAACTCCTCCGTGCTCCAAAAAGAGGGGAATGAAAATTCTGCACATGGAACTCATAACCCTTATGATTTATACACATGTATGTCGGTTTATATATACTTCAAAATAAACAATTCAGTAATCAAGGGATCAGTTGAGAAGATTTTCATTGCTTTTACCAGAAGACAACTGCACATGCACAGAAGCAAAGGGCAAAGACCACGACTTCAGGCTTATCTCTATGCAAAACTGAACTACTTCGCATCGATTTAAAAACTCCTTCAACTAGGAGTTTATCCTTAAAATGGGGTTATATATGCATCAATACACAAACGTATATAGAAATGTGTTTCAAATGTGATTTCCAGACCAACGCTAAGTAAATAAAGAAAAATCAAGACAATTAAGATATCTGATCCTAAGACAGAAATCTGAGGGGAGAAGAGCAGAGTCCATTTTCACAGACTGGAGGAGAGTAAGTTCTGGTGCTAAACTGATACAATGAGCTATAGGTACTATTTTTCAAATAGAAAGTAGCAATATTACACGTTTTAAGGGCTCTTAAATATTTTAACAGCACTTCTAAGAACTGCTCACTTGCATATTCCTGAAGAGCCTTCAGATACCATTACAAACAACTAAAGAAAATGATTTATCTACAGTACAAAGAACAATCCGTCAGATCTGCGCTGCAGGACCCCAGGCACACAGTGTACATAGTGTGCCAGAGTGCAGTCCCACCATTCCTACAACAAACAAAAGCAAGCTGCCACCAAAAGGGATGGCTCTGCTGCCTTGTACCCATTCAGTTTCTCTCTGTTTAAAGTAATGCATTCAGCAAGATCAGCCTCACACAACTACACTTGTGCTTAGAGTGGCACAAGGAAGACATCAAAAACGAGCTGGCAGTGGGAGGGCAAGACTTTCAGCTGTAAGTCTGCACTTTCACTGATCCCAAGCTCTCCTACAAGGGGAGATGACTTCTCTTGCAGCAGCACTTGTTCTTATGTTACCATGCAGGAGGCTATTCTGGGAAGTGAACCAGATAATAGTTGCCCGTTCCTCACAGGTGATTAGTTCTCTCCCGAACCTGGAACTGAAACAGCCCCACTGCATGTTCACACTGGTGCCAGCTTCACTGCAAGTGTCACATTGGTGTCACCACTGGTAGCCTGAGTAAAAGTTGTCTTCAGTAGCCCAGAATCCTACCCTCAGCATGCTACAACTTGCTCAGGGCTACATCTTCTGGTACTTCTTTTCTAAAACTGAGGTGTTAACAGCAACAAATCATGCGGTTTAGAAATAAAGCTCTCTATTAGAAAAATCACTTTTAAAATCCACTTCAGTGTATACATCACATTTTGGCATAAAGAAACAGACTAAGATTTACAACATTTATAATCCTAGTATTTCAGTTATCAACCCCTTAGCAGGTATAGAAAACACAGAACTTTTTTTTCCTCTCATAAAAGTTCTGTAACAAACAAGAAATGACTCTATATACACCTACATTTCTAAGTTAAACATCAGCTCTAGCAATCTTTACATAAATGAATTTATTTTCAAGCTTTCTCTTCCCTAATTTAACACTAAGTTGTTTTGAAATACTCCTTCTCCACTTAAACCTTTTCAATCTTTTGACAATTTATACATTAGTAAAATGTAACATACAATTTTCCTCCAACATTTCATCTGAACATGTGTTTGAGAACAACTCTTAAAGCTGTGGCACTCTACATTCTCCGCCTTGACAGCATTCAAACTACAAACACAAACACTGAAAAGCCACTGCTGTCTTTCATCAAAGACTAAATGAAATTTTGCTCTGTTTCGTACTACATGTGAGAAACGTAGGAATGAACATCAAAACATGAACTTAAAGGCTTCGTAACACAGACACCAAAGTTCAAGAATTGCTGCTCCACTTTAAAGGAGCTGATGGCTACTTCGAACAACAGACATTATTATGCTCTGCTTTTCTTAGTGTCTCAGCAAGGTCATCAACTGTTACAAGAAAAGATACACAACTGCTTCTACATAAGGCAAACAAAAAAGGAAGCAGTCAATAACTGTCTGCAGGTGGATTTCCTGTTCTTTCTAAATCCATTTCCCTGCAGGAAAATATTCATAGTAATTTTATAAACACATTTCCGGATGCAGAAGGACAAAGACAATTGTCACCATTCAAATGTTTTACTTCCTACTGAAAACAGACAATCTCAGCTTCCATACTCAATTCTCAGTGCTATGCTTCTACAAAGAAACAAGTCACAATCAGAAATGCACCATTTGGTTAATGGTAATCATCTAGCTCTTTATCTGATTAAAGCACTGGGGCATTAGTAACCAAATCTCTCATTATTCCTGTAATAACACAAAAAAAATCACCATTTTGTAGATTAACTCAAGCAGGAATATATTTAAAATAGTTGTCCAGAACATTACAGAAGCATAGCATGTACTGTGGATTAGAACTAGAGTGTGGATGTGTTTATATTTTTCTCTTTTTTAGATGAAGCATGGCATAAAACTTAAGAGTATTAATGGAGCATTACTGCCAGGTTTTGTTTTCCTTTCCTAGCATAGCTAACATCTGAACACTCAATAGCATGGTAAAAAATACCCAAACCAACAACTTCAAGTGAGCAACTTGGGAAGATTTGTTAAAAACAACTGAGAACTAACAGGAAAAACTCCATAAAACCTGCAACATGCAGTGAGCATGCAGTAATTATACGCATCTCTCCATTTGCTCTTATCTTACTGTTCACAATGCAATACCATAACAGAAAGCACAGACCAAAACTGCTTTTCTCCCGTGATGCTGTGCTGATGCTGCTTAAGATATTAACAGCACATACATTCTGAAACAGTGCAAACTGGCTCCAAGGATTCTTATTAATAAAACAAACAACAGAAAACATTTCACTGAGGAAAAGATGCCTCTACTTTCAGTGTATTTCTCCCCAAAAGGGAGATCTCCTACTATTCTTTTTTCCCCACACACCTAGTTTTCACTTTTCTTAAGGATAATTTTCCTTTAAAAAAAAAACAAAAAAAGAAACCAGAAAAGCAATTAAAAAAGCACGATTAAATCAATTAAAAGCCATCTCTTAAACGTTCACCTCAGAGAAAAAAAGCTAAGCTTTGAGCCTTAAGCAATAGCTGAGATGGACTAGAGCTTGACAGTGTCTTTCCAGTGTACTTCACTGAGACTGGCTTCCTGTGCTTCCTGTTTCTACGAAGCACTACCTGTGCTGAGGTACAGCAGTGAGGGATTCAGGTAATTCTACAGACAACTGCGGGAAACAGTCTTCACCCTGAGCATCTACAGACTGCAAAGGTGCAACACAGCTCAGTAAATGAGTTAGTTTCTTATGTGTGCCCAGAATTTCTTCCATAGATTCACCTTGATTACTTGGTTCAGCTTGCTTCCAAAAAATGAGACAACGGCTAAAGCAACATACACAGTGATATTCTACTTGGCAAAACTTTGCCCAACTTTTAAAGCTAGCAGTTAAAAACTAGAAATGCTACTGCAAGCAGAAAAATCAAATAAAGCTCTTTTAACTTAAGAACATCATGTTTCTCATAAGAACTGAATATCCAGTTTTCCAGAATATTTTGTGTGAAGACCAGAGCTCTTAAAACTATTCTGCCTGATTTCTTCGAGCATTCAGACCAGCAGGATTTGCTCTGACATAAACTCCCTCATGCTCCCCCCTCCCTTGCCTGGGAGCAAGTGTCCTTGACATCCAAGTAGACTCCTTTCTCAGTTCGCACTGAGCAGACAGCAGCAACAATACTCATGCCTAAGCACAGAAGATACTTCTGGTATTTAAAATATTTACTTTCCTTAGTTCACACCTACTTAGCTGGAGCCACTGGATTTCAGAGCTAACTAACTCACAGTATAGTCTAATAAGACTACAGCATTAGAACCTTACCAACGTAAATATGGATTACTTAACAAGATACTCTGTCATGACTGCTTTCAGGATAAAAATGCTCATTATTTCATCTTTTAGAATTTGTGGGTCACAACAGACTCCTAAAAGTATACAAGAGATTGTTCTTAACCTCTGTTTTCCTGCATAACTTTTCCCTACTGTAAAAATGCTGGAGGTAATTAAGATCATCCGTTTCCATTGAACTTCATGCAATTATCATCTCTAGCACTCAATTTCAACATCAATATTACAGCATAGAGCAAATGCTAGAAATAGATACAATGCAGTCTATTCTTCAAGCAGGTGTACTCTTCTGCAGCAGCTAACCAGCCCAGAGATCGGAATTTTAAGTACCAGCCTCAGCATTAGTCTACCTGTACTGCAGTACCTCAAACGTTCTGGAAGACCAGCCAGAGGAACTCGGGGTTGAGAAGAGTCCCTTCTGTCTTCCTCCCCTTCTGGAATGTGCAGTGCTGGCCTCTGAGTTTAGGAGGGAGATAAACAGAGATCTGAAACTACGTCCTGTGCGTGGAACATCCCACGTCCTTCCTGACCTACTGCACTTTGCTATGAGCCTCCCTAAAAACCACTCACGTGCACCTCAAGAAAATTAAAGCCACTTTACCTATTTAACGCTGAAGCAAATCACTCATTACAAAAAAGAGCTAGCGTTCACCAAGACCGGCTGAAATAAGGACCAAAGAGAGAATATTAAGAAATACATTTACAACTGTTTCAAACCGTGAACTCAAACTATTAAAGGTGCCACCAGTTCATCACTGGAATAATCGCTCGCGTCTTCCCCTCAAGTAGCGCCTCCACAATACGTGCTGCTGTTCCCCGTGTTCTAAGACTAAGTAAGAGCAGAAAAGGGAAAGAACTGAAGGTCTCCGGCCTTTTAAACGTGCAGAGCTAAACAAGAATCTGCCCCACGCGCCGCGCAGAACCTGAACAGCAGGGGCACGCAGCCGCCCATGCCTGTCGCACAGCCTCCCCCCGGTCCCCACGCCGCTCCCGGGCTCCCCCCGCCGCCGCGGCCCAGCTGACCTTCGGCGCGCGTTGCCCCGCTCGCACAAAGCGCGGCGGCGGGGCCGGGCCCACAAAGGGGCAGGCGGCCCCGCGGCTGAGCGGCGCAGGCCTCGCGGCAGGCCCCGAGCCGGATCCGGGCCGGGCCCGCACCCGGCGCACGATAGCCCGGCGGCACCGCCCGGCCGCAGCTCCCCTTCCCCTCGGGGACCCGGCGGAACCGGCCGCGGAGGCCCCGCCGCGTCTCGGCGCTCGAGCCGAGCTCCTCTCTTGGCCCGGCCGCGAGCGGGAAGCCGGCCGCGCTCGGGCCGCGCCGGGGCCTCGTCCGAAGACTCGCCGGAGGCAGCCGCGCCGTCCCCGAGGCGGCGCCGGGGCCTTCCCCGGGCGGCGGCCCGGGGCCCCTCTGCGCCGCGCGGGGCCTCTCGGGGCGAGGCGCCGAGGCCGCCGGGCCGCAGTCCGCGACGCGCTCACCTGCGGGCGCCGGGCCGGGAGGACGTCGCTCTGTCGGCCTGGCTCCCCGATGGCGCGGGCTGCTGGGCGACGTGCCGCGCGGCGCTCGGCT